ACGCGGCGATCGAGTCGTGTGGCGAAGGGGGGAGCAAGGGCGGATGGATTGTGAGGGAAAGGCCTGGAATGACGGGCAGCGGACGTGCGGTGCATTAATTATGTGAGTTTATCCAGGCGGACGTGGTTTAATCTCATACGATTCATGAAGGATGGGTCGCGGATAATCGTGCCCGTACAAGGTGAGATTTACAAGGGGAAAAGGACATACATGAAGGATGATCCTTGGATAAACCAAGACTGATGAGCGAGAGGGGAGGCGAGTAAGCGACGGTGGTTTATCGCACAGGTTAATCATGCGGCGGTAAAGAACAAAATGTGAGTATAACGAGGTGACTGGTTCGTGAATGATTATCAGGTGGGATGAGGAGATTAACGTTTGGATTGACGAAGGATAATTGCTCGTAATCTGCAAGGGTGGGCTCGGATAATCCTGAACGAATGCTGTGGCTCAGAAGGATCATCCTGATTGGAGTCGCACGACCAGGAGAATGGATGAACTATGGACATCGTAAATGGTGTGGATAATCCATGAAATGTACTAATAAATGCCTGAAGATAAACGATCTAAGAAACACCTGTGGACCTGAAGGTCAAGAACTGAGGTCAGTGAGGACAACACTTTTCCATCTACTCTCTTCTTCTTGACTAATGCAGACATGCAGTCGCCTACTGAACGTAGCTGCGTCTGCTATGCCCTCTCCAGCTCCCTGTCACTGTTGGGATTATCCTGAAGATGCCTGGTCGGGTATGGGTGTAGCGACGCACATTTGGAGTGAACTTCGTGGGTGACGGATACGTGGTGCTTAGTTCGGTGTATACGATATGTTGTAACTGTGGAGTTGTGCGGGATTTGAATTGAAGAGAACTCGTGTAACGCGCTATTCATGGGAGCAACGACGTTTGAGCTTCCGTAGCTTTGGTCATGATTTGGCATGGCGGAGTTTCGGTGGTCGCTTAGAAATGTTCAAGTTACAACTAGCCTAGCGGTAAACCTATCAGCATGATTATCAATGGTGCAAGTGGGGAAATTGATGACTTCTGCTGTAGTATTGAGCTTCATGGACAGGGGACCTTTCTCGTTGCAGAATTTACGTGGGCGACGCGCAAGCGACGCGACGGGCAGAGTTCGAAGAGGAGAGGCGCTCACGCGCATGGTGGACGAGCGGCCCACACTCCGGCCGTCCGGCGCCGTCGGATCGGGCCGAGAGCCGCGCAATCATACTACTTAACGCCACTGCCAGTACGCCGCGTGAAACAGCTCCGGGTTTGCACTCACATAGCATCGAAGAGACTGCTGCCAGCGAGGAAGATGTACCGTGCTGGAAAAACCGCATCGGCCTCGACCCGGGCGGAGGCCTCGAACTTTCATCTGCTCCACCCCGGTCGTGGTGTGTCTTCTCGGACAAGGTCCTCTCGAGCTGCCTTTGTCTGTGCCACATGAGCTGAGTACGAAACCCCCAATTGGATTCAGGAGCGAAGGCGACCCAACAGGCACGGCTACTTACCAGAATCCCGGCCCACACCCTTGGTTAACGTCCGAACGACACCGTACCCCTCCGGACTCAGAATTACTGCTCGATTAACATCTACGGTACTCCGTACCTCATGCTTCATGCATCCATCCATCCCGTCTAAGTACTCCCGGGCCATATCTAAACCTTACGGAGACAGAGCGGGCGAGGAGTGCGGGATCTTGGTCCATGAGCTCAACCACTTCTCTCCATCGCTCCAACGCGGGCCATCCTGCGCTCGAAAGGGACATTAGATCGCACTCAAAGCTACCTCGTGCTCGATGCCCAACGGAACTTCGGTGGCGCACGTTCGTCATCCTTGTAAGCTTGCTGGGATGACCGCTCAAAAAGCCTCCTAAAATCCTCTTTTGTACTAATACTAGTATTCGGTACCATGGGTCTGACTCGCTCGTACTCAAGCGGCAGTGAACGAGAACGTTTGAAAGTGTTAGCGCCAAAAGTCTTCTGCGTCATTTCCATATGCATATTCCCCTCGCTTGCGGCTCCAAGATGAGGTCCACATGCTCGATATGCATGTGGTCTCCGAGTAGCGGCGGTTATAAAGTTGACGCCACGATGCCGAGGCTTACTCATAACGTCCAGCTCTTTCCGGAGTCCGTCCTGAGCATAATTCGAGCGTGTTCCAATCGCACCTCTTCTTTACCCTGCATGTACGTACATAGGAAGGTCTCTTGCACCTCGGTGCGCAAATGAAGCGCGCTGCTGCGGGAAACCATGCAGGACACATTGAAGGCCCGGGGTTGTTACGTGTGCAGCGGCCGATTTGATCCCACCATAAGCGCGTATTTTCCTACTCGCTGCGTGACGATGTCTCTGTCGATGCGTAAAACAAATGCAGATTCCAAGCGCAAGACAAAAAGCGGTGATGGGGCCAACGAATGGCCATTTCAGCATGCAACAGGAAATTTATACGCCGATACAATGCAACGCCTCGTACTGAGTAACTCTGAATCCGGTCTTGGAGGGCGATGTCGTCGTAGACGCTAAGATGAATTAATCAGTGATTCCATACACGAAACGCACAGCACGACGTACTCATACTCGTGACGCCTTCCAGCGGGAGAGAGACGCGACAGTTGCTCGCAGGACAGCGCCACTCCAGGAAAACGTGTGAACCCGATGCGCAGTGAAACGGGCGCGAGATGCTCTCCTTCCCTGGCGCAAACGTGAGGACGTCGAGGAATGTGGAAAGGACACCGCCAGCCCGATCGGCGGCAGGTCGCAGGTAGACCTCTACGTCGACGGCGCCCTGGGGGAGCGCTGCGTCCTTGTTCCGCCGGAGATTCAGCGTGCAGTTCTCGAGGCCGTAGTCGGCCACGTATACGTCGGCGACGGCGCGGACCTGAGACGTTCCAGTCAGCGTCATGAGATATAGAAACGGAAGAATGAATGATGAGACGTACGGGGCCCCCAAAGATCAACGTCGCCTGGTCGCCGGGGGCATGCACCCGCGTGAGCTCCGCGTTCGAGCCAGCGCGCGTGTCATACGTGTAGAAGCTCTTCGGGAACGTCGCGCGACTCCGACAGGACGACGGCTCGACGGCGAGCTTCTCGAGCCCTAGGTACGGGCTAGGTCGCTTCAGTTCTGACGCCGTGGGCCGTGTGGAGGGGAGGAGGGTGGAGATGGTGGTCCATGCAGACAGTGCCGTCAGATTGAGGGCTGAGAGGGCGAGGGCGACGATGCAGGAGGCGATGAACAGTCGCCAGAAGAATGACTCGGATGAACGCCCAGGCCTTGGCTTGTCGCCATAGGCCTCGTCGGGTGTGCCTTCGTCGTCGATGTGGAGGGGCTCAAGAGCGCTGTCGTCGTAGCGAGAGGAGCGTAGGGGTAGACGTGCGTAGGAGGTTTCGGTGGGCATCGATGACTAGCTCGGGCCCGGGGGTGACTGAGGTGGATGCAGTGCACCAAAACGTGGGCATATATCGAACGGGCGCGCGCCATACCGATGTGTGCATGGCTTTAGGGAATACACATGGCTGGAATGCACTGCGTGAGATGATGAGACTCATAATTCTGTAGGAATCGATCATCTGGCGAAGTAGGGCAGGAAATGGACGTACCGATTGCTAGTTCACGAAGAGCCGTCCGCACCTGGCGTCAAGTCATCCTTTGTTACCTCACGTTGTTTCCCTGAAAACATAGGTCACAGCAACAGGGAGCTCCTTGAAGGAAGAGGACTTGGAAGTGGAGCTGAAGCAGCTGGAAGGAGTCTGCGAGCGCCGAGGTGTACGACCTGGGTCCCAAGAACTTGCTATCGAGTACCCGGGGTCCTGACACCAAGAGCAGAAGAGACAGATCCGCGGGCTAGATCTCCTCTCTCTCTCTCTCTTCGTTACTACGTGTTCAGCGAGTACTTACTTGTCTATGGCTACTCTCTCTGTCTGCGGTGCTTATAAAACTTGGAGGCTCTTGTGTTGTACGTCCGGGCTATATTGCTAGCGTTGACGTTGTCGTCTGATGACACTCATCACTCGGGCGTCGGCGCTCTCAGAAATCTGGTCATTGGTCTACGAAGCGGAAGAAGTGCACGGGCTAGACAGAGTGAGTGGTTCTCACGCAGAAGCATTCCGGTCTTCGTGCGCTGCATCACTGCTTGTATCCGGACGCCTTTTGTATCGCTACCTTCACGCCCAGCCTTCTGGTGAATCTGAAGCTTTCGCAATTGCTTACCGCGGCACACCGCTGTCTTACGCAAGCTATCCCTTAGCATGCTTTTCACTTCCACCGTCGCTGCTGCTGCCCTCTCGCTCTTCGGCGGAAGTCTCTACTCCGGTTTCTGGCGGACGCCACCAGACGATCCCGACATCGAAAGATGGAGCTGCAGGCCTTTTCTCCCCAACGTCTTCGCCGAGGCCCCACCATGTTCTGCGCATCCCGCCATTCGTCGGGCTGTGCATGCTGTCGACGAGTTCTTTACCGCCCGCTTTGCCGAGAGTGACATCGACAGTTTATCTGTCGCAGTTGTAAACTCGCAGGGGGCCTTATACGAAAGGAACTTCGGCTACATGCGCGCCAACGAATCGCACAGCCCTGAGACCACCAGCCATTCTATGTACCGCATGGCTTCGGTGTCAAAGCTCTTCGCAGCCCTCGAAGGGTTCATCCTAGAGGAGAAAGGCGCTCTGTCCTGGTAGGTGGTTGTAACCTGACTCGCGTAAATGTTTGCCACAACAACTTGCTTCATTAGGGACGACCCCGTCAGCAAGTACCTAGAAGGCTTCAAGTATCGCGCAGACGGACTAGATCCACACAGGAACCCCTCCCCGAAGAACGCGCCCGAGATCACCCTGTCACAGCTCGCGAGCCACATGTCCGGCATAGGTCGAGATTGGCCTCCTGGGCCAGCAACGGGCTGGCCGCACGACGCTACAGGCGGCGGACCTCCTCCCATGAACGGACATCCGTATCCGTCCCCCAAGGTGTTACTGGACGCGATTGCTAAGCACCATCTCGTCTCGCCCCCAGGATTTTATCCGTCATATTCTAACACAGGTCTGGGAGTACTCGGCCTCGCTCTCGCAGCCGCCAGCAGCGCGGCTAGCGGCGAGCCATCTGTGTTATCATACGCCGACGTAATGAAGCGTGATATCTTCGACCCGATGTGTTTGAACGGAAGTCATTTCCTCGCCACCGACGCGAACAAGCACTTGATCGTCGTTCCTTCAGTGGAGCCAGACCTTGCTGTACGTGGTTATCGACTACATCAGGACTATTTGATGCTCACGCAAGAGCAGGATCACGACTTTCTCGACGCCATGAACCCTGCAGGAGGACAGTTCTCGTCCCTTGCAGACATCATGACTCTAGCGCAGACGATCCTGGACCCTTCCCATCCGAAGAGCCAGATCTCCTCGTACGCACGCGACAGGTGGCTGCAGCCCGCCCACGTGTTCATAGAGGACGACTGGACCGAGATCGGGCTCGTCTGGGAGATCATCAAGGCAGCGGACTCGAACGGACGCCTACGCAAGATCTACTGGAAATGTGAGTCGCACACTTTCCCAGGCTTCCGAGTCCTTAACCCTGACGCGAACGCCCTCCTCCCAGTGGGCAATGTGGGCGGATACCACACCGCGATCGCCGTGCACCCGGGCACGGCCTACGGCGTCGTCGTGCTCATGGCCGGGCCGTACCCGGACACGGCCAAGCTCGTATACGACACCTTCGCGCTCGTCCAGCCCGCCGTCGACCGCGCGCTCGCCGACGCCGTCGCCGAGCTCTACGTCGGCACCTGGGTGGCGGAGACAGAGACCGCCAATGTCTCCGCACCCACATCCGCGCGTATCGCCGTGGAGCGCGGGACACTGTACGTGGAGAAACTCGTGCTCCTCGGGGCGGACGCGCTGAGGGCGTTTGGCGCCGAGGGCAGGCTCGCGATGCGCGCGACGGGGTTCCGCGACGAGTTCCGGTGCGTCCGCCGAGTCCGAGTCGGGCTTTCGACGTTGTGCTGACCGGGTTGCGCAGGCTCGACGCGGGGATCGCGGGGTACAACGGCGTGAAGCACATGGGCTGCTACCCGTACTGGAATGGGCAGGACATGTGGGGCGTGCGCGAGGGCGCGGCGATCAATGCGCTGTACTTTACTGGGGCTGGGGACGGGCGGCGCCTCCATATTCCGTCTCTGTCGTTGGTGCTGAGGAGAACGTGAATGGGGCGAACTGTCGCTTGGAGACGGGGCACTGATATGCCACATTTCCCGATGTGCATACAGCGTCTTGACACTGGGGCCGCTCGCAATAGAGTTGCCAGTATCTAGAATTAGCCTCCAGGTGTGCACCAATCTGTCGTATCTGCGTCTGCGTCGCCGCAATACATGTGGTGTCTTGGAGTGCACCCGCTTATGTAAAGCCGAGATATATAGTATTGTGGACGAGTCGCAACGTAACGCAAATGCATAAATCCCGTAGAGGTGGAGCAGCCTGTGAGGCAGAACGCAAGGGCTTTGTACGCATACAAGGACTCTGTACACGGTGAACACGGAGCACGAACAGTAGAAGGGAGGCGCCAACTAGGAGTTCTCAGTCTTGCGCAGACTCGAGATCGTCATCGTAAACGATCTTGGCCGGGCCTCTGCGCGAGCTCATGAGCCACAGTTGGTCGAAGTCAGACGCAGACGGCGTACCGCATTTCTTGCCCCTACGGAGATCAGGGAGTCAGTAGCGCCTAGCGAGGTGCACGATGTTGCAACTTACTTACATCTTGTTTCCACCGTATCTGGGCTTGAAGCTCGGTGAGGCCGCACTGCAGTATGATGTCGAATTTCTGGATGTAGTAGAAGCCGCAGGGGCCTCTGTACGGTGTTTTGACTACTGCAGATGTATCCGCCGTCACGGTACAGAGGGTGGTATAGCACTCTTGTGTAACAGGAGTTAGTGAGAGTGTTGAAAAGTGGGAAATGTGCGCACCAGGTTCGAGGTCAGGCCATCTCGGTCGTTCTCTTTTCCCGCGGTAGCATACGATTGTCGATGTTGTCGTATTCAAATGATCCTTGTTCGAATCTGACGCCTCCCTGTGATATGCCTTGGCGATCTCCTCGCCGCCGCGAATGCGTGTACCCTGTAGTACATGGTCAGTTTCGGTTCTCACGATGCTGATAATGACATTCTTTGATCAGGATAGAACTAAACGCGCCCGGCACTACGAAACGGCCTGATGGGCGAGTGTTCTTCCTATAGCTGCGAGCGACACACTCGGGATCGGTCTGGTCGTAGGTGGCGCTGGAGATTGTTCCGTAGGTCATCTTGATGATGCGCGCAGACACAAAATGTTCGAGATAGAACGAGACGCCTCCTTCAGCAACAGCTTTGTTTCTAGATAGCAAAGGTGAGTAAACTTCAGCAGAATTACAGAGGTAGACGCATACGTATGGGTGTCTGGACGGCAAACAGCGAGCCCGAGAGGTCTGACTACTTGCTGCAGGCTGCTATAAAGCCAGGGGCTCGCGGCGAAGCCGCCCACAAGGAAGATGGTCTGAGAAAGGGTCAATTACGCTATGTGCGTATATGAATGCATAGACACCTACGGATATCGGACACGTAGCCGTCTGACGCTGTTTCTGAATAGCCTCGACGACAGCATCGAGAGAGGGCTTGTAGAGCGCCTCCATCTCCAGCCTAGCGACATACCTTAGCTTAACGACATGCCAAAATGTCAACTCCCGTATACGCTCACCCAGACAATAGCAGCTGTCCCCGACGAATATTTACTCCCGGATCGTTACACCTCATCGACCCGAATTTGATGTACGACTGCTCGGTCGCATCCTTGAATATTGGTTTGGTAGATTTGTCGAAATAGTCCAGCATCGCCTTGATGTCCTCCTCGTTGCCATACGCAGAGTCCTTCAGCTTCTCTGGAGACATTCCGTGAGCAATCACATTCTGAACACCGACAACAACTGTGTGCTTACTCTGCAAGAACGTCTTCGCCCTTGCATTCACACGCGTGGACCCGTGCATCAGGCCTGAAAGCATATAATCAGCCTGATGAGTAGGACTCGGACCGGGAAGAGAGCCACTTACAATCTGCAGAGGCGATTTCCTCGACGTTTAGGGGACTGGTCGAGATGAACGCGTAGCTGCTGATGTCGACCGTTCCTCCTCCAGCGTCGACGACCATCACGTTCTGCCCGTCCTGTAGGTAAACCGGTGAGACACCAGTGCTGCACGCGGCGAGTCGCGCACTCACGGAAAGGCCGTCCGATGTCAATCCGCTCCGGATACAGAAGTGGAGACTCGCCTCTCCTTCCGTCACGAATTGTACTCGCGCGTGGCCATCCGGCGTGTCGGGCACGAGGCCAGCCATGATGGCAGCCTGGCGCATTTTGCCCTGCTGCAGGCCCTCCCATCCGTTGGGATGGGATAGCACGAACTCGACTCGGTCCTCGACGGAGCTCCATATGCTCGCACCGTTTGCGTGCGTCTCCTTGATATAACGCTGAGTGCATTGGAAGAGGTATCGAGTGAAGTCGGCGAAGACGTCCAGCACGCCCTTGCCTTTGGGCAGAGGGGGTAGGTCGCGTCGCTTGATCTCGTTGGAATCGAGTGTTTCGGGACGAAGGTGCAGCTTGAACCTGAAACGTGTGTCAGCTCGAATACTCGCGTCCGAGTCCAGAGAATTCTAAACATACCATTCCACGAATACCAGATCCTCGTCTTCCGCTTCAAGTTCTATGCCTGGAATGGCGGCCTCAGCGCCCACGGAATGTACAGTGCCGTCTTGACGGTAGTACAGGATGGATGGAATCTTCGAATCTCCTGCCGCGTTCTCCTGACCGGGAAACCTGGAAGATAAACATTATTCAGGCTGGGTACTCAAAGACCACGTCGTACAGGCTTACCGGGTGACCCCTTGAATCTTCGGTACTTCCCCGGGGTCAAGAAACGCGTAAGCCACACCTGAATAAGTTGTCCCGATATCCATCGCTACAACGAGCTTGCGAACAGGGCCCCGGTACGGCTGAAGAGGCGCCATAGTGAAGCACAGGAGTTGATGGGTGTGGATGAAGGGGATAAGGAGTCTCTTCGAGCTAGAGGTGAGTGATGCGTACCGTGGCCATTCGCACCTCGCGCTATATGCGGAAGATTCCGTGCGCTGCGGAAACGAGGCTTGAGCTTCGAAACACGACGGATCAGCACCCTCCCAGGCCCTCGAGGGCGCTGAACCCACGAGTAGATCATCAGCATACTTGGTTGTCGGTACACGAGTCCTTCATAGAACAGTTCTCTGCAGTCACCATCGAGGCGTCCTCCTGGTGCTGAGGATCCCCGTCTGGTTCCGTACCTCGTCTGTATACCAACCACTCTGTTGCAACCACTCTGCTCCGTACCCATCTCTTCGTGATGGACAACGTTGTCATCCGCATTTGGAAGTCGGACAACGACCGTGACACCGGGCGGACGAGGCGTACGAGCTTCAGAAAAGATCGCGACTATCGCCAGCGCTGCAAAGAGCTCGAAGACATTGCTAGCAGCCAAGTGGAGGAGATAGAGCAGCTGAAGAAGAGGGAACGTGCGTCGCAGGGCAAGATCACGGGTTTACAAGAGGACCTGCAGACGTCGCAGGCCGCTCTTCAGGTCAGCGAGGGGCGATGCCAAGAGCTTGACGACTACAACCAGCGACTAAAGAAGTACTCCGCCCAACTGGAGCGTAACGTGAAGGCTACGGAGGGAGAGAAGGCCGAGCTGGAACGGGCCCTCGCGCAGGCACTTGCGGAACGCAGCGACCTAACAGCACTGTTAAATAGGGGACTAGTGGAGCTCAAGGAGGAGACGCAGACGCACCTGAACGGCGTCGATGATGTCACATGCAGCTCGGAGGTGCTTGCTCTCGTCAAGCGTATCAATACCCAGATATTCCATACCGCCGCCACAATATCCGACGACTTCCAGGACTCCTACGGCACACAGAAGTATGGACCTATCGTTAACATGGCGGTTGCCGGCTTGAAAAAGTCGAACATCGTCGGCGCGGAGCTCCCCTCGATCCTATCCGCGAGTGACCACCGCACCGACCCCACCCTTGTTCAGATTGCGCTTCAAGGAGCGCTCGCGATGATGGTCTTCAACTTTGCTTCTCCGTGGTTCACCTCTCTTGAGAAGCAGACTGCATTTCTTCACTCTATATACGTGGAGATGTGCAGGCATGGTGCGTTTACAGGTGTGGATGCGTCCAGGCACTAACACTATCGTACTACTAGAACTTCAGTCCGTCTCCGAGCAGTGGAGGACAATGGCGCTCACCTACACACGCGCTATCATCCCCGAGAAGGGACAGAGTGTATCCGTGCCCGCCTTGATGATGATCGACTGCGTCACCGACGTACTCCTGGCATGCGGCGTAGATGGGTCTCCAGAGCAAGTCCGCAGATCCGTCAGGTTGCACCACGCCGAGCGGCTGAAGCAGGTCGCCACGCAAGTCCTCGATTTACGCTGTATGTCAGGAGGACAAATCGTGTCTGGCGATCTACAGGTCTTCCCCATCTGGCCGCCTGCGTCGTTTGATCCCGCGTGTATGGAGGACGAGTGGGCGGAGGTGAAGAGACCGGAAAACACAGAGTATCCCGCAGGTAACATCCTGTGCACGACGAACTTGGGGGTTATCCGGCGCGAACGTAGGGCCAAGCAGGACGAGGACGATGGGCCAATGCGGGAGGTGGTGTTGCTCAAGCCCAAGGTTGTCTTGCACAGAACCTTGCGAGAGCTGTTTTCAGAGCCAAATATGGGGATGGAAAGCAGCACCGGTATGTTCTCATCCTGAGATGATCCCGCACGATTGACAAAACGGAAAGCCGTAGGAAACCCCGCGGCGGTGCCCTCTTGACCGACATTCATCGGCTCGCTCTTGCTTTCCGTCAGCGCGACGAACGCGACTTCTCGGTGTGTAGTATCGAACTTGGTATCTATTCTTACAGTGCCAGATATCCTCCATTCAGACGTGGGCGAGTTAGGTTGTCCAGGTAAACTTACCTTGTGGACCGTTGCAGGCCAGATCTGCGTCGACGTAGCGGTGGCCGACTTCCACGCACCACTATGTTCCCTCTCTCTTCATATTCCCGGATTGTGTTGCGTTTCTTGTATATGGGATGTACTTCATCATAGAGGATTCGTTGCAATCTGTGGTCCTTCGCTGAAGCGTCGTGGAAGGATCATGAATAGAAGTTGTAAGCGCTGACGAGGCTGACGCTCATGAACATCCTCGGCATTCGCCGCGTCATGAATCGGTTTGCCGCCCGGTGCGGGCCATATGTACTGTGCCTTGCAGAACATTTCAAGTTGTTCTGGCTCAAAGCGTGTTATGAGCATCTTTGTGTGGTGTAGATATGGGCATGGGCTCCAGGGAGTCCCGGCAGGCACACACTGTCACCATCTTCCGCTGGGACTTGGCTTCAAATCGCTTGCTTTTCTACACTGGCATGCACAAACGGTCATGGTATATACATGCCACAGACCGAAAAAAACTCAGTGCTCGCACATATTGAACTCCAGTTCGAATACCCCCTCGTTATGCTGCACCACGAAGTTCGCCCTCTCCGCCATAAGCCCTTTGCGATGCTCCTCTGCCTCCTCCCGAGACATCGTCCCCGTAGTAGCATAATCTGCGACCATGTCAAAGAGTTCTACAGGTAAGCCCTGCATTGCGGGAACGCGTAGCATCTCGGCCATTGACCACTCCGCTTGCTGGGGCGGGACGTCGGTTGTCGACATGATTCGCGTGAGTGGGTCGACCAAGAAGAAACACAGGATCTTCCGGTACCCGGGCTTGGTGCGGTCCGCAAGCTCGAAGTCGTCCACACGGTGCTGGTAGATGTTCGGGAACGCGATGCACTTGCCCTCCTCTGCGACGATGTGCCCGAGCTCCTGGTTGAGCGCTTTGCCTCCGCCAAAGCCGTACACGGTGTTGTACCCCTTGTCGTCGCTCTGCTCGTACGGCATCCACACGCCGTTGTCCGAGCCCTCGCCGACGACGGTGCGGAAGTCAAGCCGCGACTCCGTGATGTTCTCAGATGCGTAGTAATACAGACCCGTCGCTACGATCTTCTCGTTCGCCATGCCCTCGACGTGCCATGACCCGCCGGGGTACTCCGGGCGCTCCGGGGTGAGAACTATGTTCGCGAGCTTCACGATCACCTGCACGGTGCGTCCGCCGAGCTTGAGCTCAACGCGTCCATCCGCCTTTGGAGGAGAGAAGGGTTCGGGGTCGGGGACTTGCGGCCACTTCATCTCGAGATCCCACTTCTCCCATCCGTCCATTTCCCCGTCCGCAGCCTCGCCATTATCGGAGTAATCCGGCACATGGTCGTACCAGCTGTTCGGATCGACAGTGATGGCCAGCGGGGGCTCCGGACTGAGAGTATCCGAAAGCACCTTCTCGAAGAGAGGCACGAAGCGCGCGAGAATGGAGGAGATCGCGGGGTAGAGCGCACGGTGCTGGATGGGGTGGAGGTTGTTGATGTAAGATAGGGCCTTGACGTCGCCGACCTCGGACACGGCGAAGTCTGTAGGGAGCCATTGGTACAGCGGCGAGATGGCGTACTCCGCGTCGGTGTCTCTGTACTTTCCGAAATCAGGTCGCTGCGCATTGTACTCGTCCTCGGTGATAACGTGTACAGGACTCGCGCCTGCGGGAACGCCGGTAGTGCGGACGTAGGAGTGGCGGATGCGCAGACAGTAGAGCGAGGGGTGAACGAGATCCAGGACCTGTTCGTTAGATCCCGGGTGCCAATCCTTCTTGTCATCTGGGACGTTCTCGAGGACAGACACGCCTGCAATGAGGGTGGCCTTCAAGTCCGCGGGCACGAGGCTTCGGGATTCGTAAACCTTCGGAACTGCCGCCGCCTACATCACGCACAGGTAAGCATGGTAGCTGAACATCGCGTAGAAAGGATATTCACATAGATGCCCGTGGCCGGGTCGCGTTGGTCAGCCTCGTGCTTGAGCTGGGCAAAGATATAGTCCAGCTGCGCGTCCGTGAGGGGGTCGCGCGGCCACTGCTTCTCGCCGTCCCCGTACTCGAAGCGTCCCTCACCGCTCCAGAGGCTATCGACGGAGACGCGATCCCGCTCGACCATCTCGGCGCGCCACTTCGCGACGAGCTCCGCGTCGTGCACCTTCTCCCACCAGTTCGGTTTGGCCCGGATTATCCCGGAGAAACGGGCCATGCGGAGCTCGACGAGCGTGATGGGTGTCCGGTTGTTGAACACGAACGGGGAAGGGAACTCAGGAGGCGGCGCATCTTCCGCAGCGGCTGCCGCGAGCGCGGCTTGTCGTATTTGGCTTGTGCGCGCCATCGTCGGAGAGGTACTAGTACGTGGAGAGAAGAGTGTTACGGGGTTGGATCGACGAGTTGCGTTGCTTACAATATTGTGCAAGCTAGCTCTTATATACCGCTTGGGCGAGAGCATCGTCGCGTCGTCCAGGATAAACGCTTACCCAAATGCCTGATAGAGGCGGTGCGCTGTGATCATATATGACTTGATCGGTGCCTGATCCGCGCGCATCAGCCGCCGCCCCGACGCCCGCCCTATTACCTAAAACGGCTATATCCCGCCACGGCGGTGAGAACGAGCGGTGACTCGAACGACCCATGAAAGTCATGCACCTGCTTCGAGCATTGAACATCGAGTCATGCTGTAGATAGCGCAGCAGAGAACTGTGAGTCACGTCAATTCTATTACGTTCGAGGACCCGAAGGTCATCTCTTCGAATCTTCCGTCATACCGTAACACAGGACGTCTTCATGCTCTCTGCATGAGGATCTCGAGCGACGGAACATGCAGACGCCGCTCTTCTCCGTCTCCCCTGAAGTAGAGCGCATTGATGGCGGCGTTGTTGCGAACACCCCACAGGTCCTGCCCGTTCCAATACGGGTAGCAGCCCATGTGCTTCTGTCCATTATAGCCAGGTATGCCCGTATCGAGTCTGTGAAAGATGCACGGTCAGCCAACGGAGCCATACAAAGAGTCAGCATGACGCACCGGAACTCATCGCGGCGTCCTGAGGGGCGCATCGCAAGACGGCCCTGCGCGCCGAACATGCTGAGCGCGTCCACGCCGAGGAGCGTGTAGCTCTCCATGTACAGCGTGCCCTTCTCTACGATCACGCGCGCGGAGGAAGGCTTGCTTTGATCGTCGCGATCAGCGTGCCATGATCCAGCGTACAACTTGACGGCCATGTCTGCGAGCGCGTTGTCTATGGCAGGCTGCATGAGTGCGAACGCGTCGTACGCGAGCTTCGCGGCGTCCTGATAGTGTCCGGCCATAAGCACGATGATGCCGTAGGAGGTACCCGGATGGATTGCAAGGGCGCTGTGATAGCCCGCCATCGCGCCCACTGTCGTCGAAGTCGTGTTGTGAGTATGTGAAAGGCGGGCGCATCGGATAGAACTCACGTTTCCAGTATATCTTGCGCAGACGTCCATTCGAGTTTTCCGCCTTGATGATCTCCCACATGAGCCCGAGCTCGGTCCAGCCATCTTCCTCGAAAGAATGTACGGGAAGAAGCCACTTGTCTCGGCTGTATGTTGAGAGCTGGCTCTTCGGGTGACGCGGGTTCAGGATCGTCTGCGTGACGGTGATAATGTCCGAGAGCGACGAGAACTGGCCCGCGGCGGGGTTCATCGCATCGAGAAAGTTTTGATCCTAGATAAATCGGAGATCAGAACACGAACACCCCGATGCAGTGACAACACGAGTGACTTACAGCGACTTCGGGCGCGAGGGATGGCACTACGACGAGGTGCTTGTTCTCTTCTGTCACGAGAAAATGGCTTCCATTGAGTCCCATCGGCTCAAATATGTCGCGCTTCACGAGATCCGCGAAGGTGATCACGGACGCGTCTCCGTCCGCCGCGCTGCTGGCGGCCGCAAGCGCGAGTCCCAGAGCAGCCGTACCCGTGTTCGAGTACGCTGGGTGGAAGAGCGGCGGCGACGTAAGATGATGATGCGCGATGGCGTCCAGCAAATCTTCGTTGGAGGGGAAAGGCAGCCCGTTCGTCGGGGGCGGACCCATCCCGGCCAGGTCGTGCGGCCAGTCGGTGACCGTTCCTGCTGGCCAGTCTCTCCCGAGTCCGGACATGTGGGAAGCGAGTTGGAAGAGCGTGATAGGAGTCTTCTCTGCTGGTCCAGATACGGCATGAGGGTCTAGACCATCGGGACGATACGAGAAGCCTTTGAGGTGCTTGTCGACCGGATCATCCCTAAACGCTGTTATGAGTGCGACATCGTCGTACCGGCAAAATAGCGCCACATACCAGGAGATGAGTCCCTTCTGCTCCAAGATCAGGCCTTCCAATACGGGGAAGAGTTTCCCTGTGGATGCGATGCGATACATCGAGTGGCTGGTAGTCGGCGGGGATCTGGTCTCGTTTCCTCGGGTGACGCCGAAGTTGTTCTCGTATATAGAGCCCTCCGCTGTGACAACTGCGACCGAGAGGCTATCTATATCTCCTGCAGAGAAGCGCGACGCGAAGTACTGATGCATGGCTGCTACGCCGGCGTGTATGGCGGGGTGTGCTGTGGATGGAGGAGTGTCGGCGAAGAGGTGTGGAAGGAATGGACGGCAGTCCCATGGCTCAGGAATAGAGCTGTGCGCCCGACTTTCGAAGAGAGGAACACGGATGTTGCCAGAGTAAAAACCTCCGATGAGCAGCGACACGAGTCCCACGGCCATGGCAGAGCTGAAAGTCATCGTAACGGTGTGAGGGAAGCGGAGGAGGTCGATGATAACGTTGGAAATCCGCTTTCGAGATCTTCTGCCGTCTTATATGTCGCTGGAGGGGTCTGGATGAGGATCCATGAGAAGACGATATAAGTAAAAATCAGAAATGAACACCGCCTGCAGGGCGCTCAGCGCGGCTTGTCATGCTTCCTTACCCATGGACCCACAAACTACAATCGGACAGCTCCGCCAGTGAAGCATACTTGAGGCAAGCACGGCTGATGCCCTGATACTAACCACTGACCCGGTCCGCAGAAAGGCCGCAGCTGTTCGTAACCGTTGCAACGCTTGACTCGGAGGATGTGGGAATGTTGTGGAGACACCGCGTCGATGTCAGCAGGGGCGCCACTAATGCTTCTGACAGTCTTATGTGCAGCGACGAAGCGTGAGGAAACGTAGGATAAAAAAGCTTTTGAAGGGAGATAAATAAGTGGTAATGACTGCATGGCACGCAAACCACATCCACTTACCATTTGTAATAGTACGGAGACAAGGTCGTCTGGCATCTGTAGCGATTTGGCCGCGCACCGACGTCTCTGGTCAGGAATGCAAGCACATACTTGAAAGATAGATGCAGTGTTACTCACGCTCGAGGTTATGCAGTCACCGCTGAAAGGTCGCTAGCGCCAGTCAAGCCCGCACTCGGGTGAAGTTCCCGCCTCGTCATCCGAACATTCTTGTTCTCGTACTCGGAGTTCCACCAAAATGCAACGTCCACCTCGACGCTCTCGAGGGAATGCGACACTTGAAGAAACCGGCGGGCCAAGGTATCGGCCGCGAGGGTGCTGATGTAGAGCTCCGTCTCGCAGGGCGGGGGCATTGGCCTGTCGATCCGAGCTTGCTCCGCTCTGCGAGCGCTATCCGAGTCTGACCCAGTTGGGGAGCTGAAGGTGAACCAGTGCATGTCCTTCATGCTCTCGATTTTGATCTTGACAGCGAGGGAGTCGAGGGTGAGCGACGGCAGTGCGTCGGCCAGGCGATCCTGATAGTTGATGAGTACACGAAACCATGGAAGGATGTACCATACAACGCACCCAGAAGTCGGGGAAGTCGGCTGTACTCGGAAGGTGATCTCGCAGTGTGAGCGTGAGCGCACGGACACTGCTTAGCGCCGGATCCCGCAGGTGATCTAGCAGCCAGGCGTTGTCGCCGCCATTGAGCACCTGCGACGCGAGGTCGAGGATGAGTTCCGCCGGGAGCGTATCAGCCACGACGATGGGCAGGAAGCGTAGCTCGTCCTTCATTATGTCCAGCTCGAGACGTCGGATCCTGCACGGCACGCCGACAAGGTATAAGTCTAGGGGGGCGCCCTTGAACGTCTCCAGCTCCTTCCAGGTACCGCGCGTGAGGTGTCCCTGTCGATTCTCTTCCCGTGTCTCCAGATACAGCTCGAGGGAGTCTTCGGAGAGGTCCAGGAGTGCCTGCTCGATGGTCGACACTTCTAGATACCCGAGGTGTGGGTAGGCTGCCGCCCAAGGAGCGGTGGAAGGACAGTTGTTTCCGATGACGGTGAGCGACTTCATCCGTGGGTAGACCGGAAGGGGCGAGTGGTCGACGTAGTCCCGCCATGAGTCGAGATTGAGGCTGCGGAGGGTACGACATGCGTTTTTGAAGAGCTGGGCGGGGTTCAAGCGCTCGTACCGGTTTTCATCCGGCCAGGCCTTGCGATTGAGAGCCGTGCGGCACAGAGCGGCGGTTTCCAACGGCCACTGCATGGTTTCAAGCATTTTACAGGCAATGCCACCGACTTTGGACATCGTTATGTGCTTGATTCTGGGTAGCGAAGCAAACGCGGGGCCGAGATCGGGATGCGAGCTGAGGGTCGCTTCGACGTATGCGAACTTGAGGACCTCGAGATTGACCGCTTTCTTGATGCCATAAGCGAAGGACTTCGCGAGGGAGGGGCCAATGAGGCTGTCCTTATCGAAGTGGAGTTCGTAGAGGTATCGCCAACGTTTGCCCTGGTCTGGGCGCATGAACCGGAGGAAGAGGGCGATTTCTCGGTCGGAACGAAGTGTAGCTCCTCTGTCTTCCAGATAATGCCGCGCGGCGGTATGGTAGAACGCCTTGCATGTTCTGATAAGCGTGGAGAGCGTGGGACCTTCGCAGAAAGCCACTATGACGAGTAAGACGTCGATATTCAACGTCGTAGACGATTTTGACTAAACGAAGACGCACGTCACGATGAGTAACTATCGGGGACGGGTGGGGTTTGACACTACACACATACCGTATTCATGGCATGTACGCGATGCGATGTTAGTGTACCTTGCACATGTCCTCGTCTGATGTTAGAAATTGCATACACGGCGTTAGCTCATGGACGAAAAGTCGACGAAGAGTGAAGGCAGCCTATCCCGGGCGCTTAAAATCCGTGAGTTACAATGGCTTTCCGCATATTGAGACCAAACGGTTATGAATACGTACGGCAATGAGATGGAACCACTGCTCGAGGGGATGCACTTGGATGCACTTGAGACCGTGGCCCTGCGATAAAAGCCTGAGGAGAGTTCAAGAGTCAAGAAATGCGACAGAGCCTGCCGCGTACGCCACATGGGTCTCGGGAAATTCCGCCGGTGTCTCTCAGTCTCCTTCCCCCATATTCGGTTGTCGCTCCAGGGACCTCAGCACGATCCACTCTGCTCATTGCACTCCCTGTACTCCATCTGTCGGCCTCTTGTTCCAGCGCAGTCACTATGCTGTTGCTTCTTCTGCTTTATAAAAATACATACGTCTGAGCTTCTCCTGGGAGACCGCGACTGCGTGAGTTAGTCGTGACCGGATCACCAATTGCATCGCCCTTTCGAACTCTCCAACCATGACAGCGAACACAGCTGTGTAAATTCGGCTTTTTAACCAACGTCGACTTCTCCAACCATTTCGGAGTTCCTGGAGGGATGGATAGCAATAACACCGCACGACAGGCCGCAAAGCTCGCTCATGGCGTCCAATCCGTTGAGTTCCCTTCGCCTTTCATATTCGAGGGCAACCATATCCCTATCACGCTGGTTGAGCTCCGCATGCGCCGTTTCTCGGGTATGATCCGTGCGAAACTGGGCTGGTGGGAGAAGGTGCACGACACAGAGCTGGTCGCGAAGTGGCGCGCCGAGATGGTTGAGCAGGACCGCTCGGCCGTCAATACGTTCTGGGGTGGCGAAGGGAGGTACGACTACGGGAGAGGGGAGAAGAAGTGGCCGCGCGATACCATCACGGACGCGCAGCTGGACTATATTTTTGACCAGCTCAAGTACGAGGCCAGCCAGCGGGATCCGACCACAGGTATCTTTGTAAGTCCTCTCGTTTCGTGGCATTCATGCTGGGCAATTTAGCTCCTGTGAAATCCAGGCAACCGCGATTCCGAAGGTCTACGAGTCCCGGAGCCTCGTGCCCACGGACCAGAAGTCTACCCTGATCGCTGGCACGTTGGTTCTCGAGTCGGTCCCACATGAACACAAGGACTGGCATCCGGGCTCAAGCAATCAGGTCCTGGACCTTGTCCACCCCTCACTTCACTGCCTGCGCATTGGCCATACCTACGTCCGCGCCTCCTGCTTTAGCGTCAGCGACGATTCTGCGACGGCTTTAAGTGCAGACGAATACAGGGCGCAACGACCCGATTTCACCCAATACCCAAAGCACATCGCCCCGCATGTCGTCTCCCTGCAATACCAATGGCTCCCCACCGACTTCACCGTTTCCGAGGACGGGGAGGTCAAGGCGCTTTCATACATCAACAACCTCCACCCCGTCAAGCACCGTGCCCTTTACCCCGCAATCTCCTCGGTCCTCTTGCACTTTGTGCCTCTTTTCGAGAAGGTACTCTCGGACACCGTCAGCCCCGATCCGCCGCTCCCCATCATTCTAGATCCGTATACGTGGTACGGCCACGTCGAAGACCTAGAGTTCCCCGACAATGAAGTCGATGGGGACGACTTTGACGACCACCACGAACGTTGGGAGCGCGAGCTGCAGTGGCCGTTCATTCCCGACCCCCCGCCCTTTTCTCCTCCCAACGGCGACGGACGCGTCGAGATCGAACTCCGCGGGCGCACTCTCCAGGTCATTGTCAAGCTCGCGAACATCATCCTCACCCCTGAGAGCCCGAAGTACCCCGGCGGATCGTGGCACGTAGAAGGCATGGCTAACGAGAAGATCGTCGCGACGGGCCTGTACTACTACGCGTGCGAGAACATCACGGAGTCGCGGCTCGACTTCCGCAGCGTCGTTGGCGACGGCTCGAACGGGCTGTTTTGGCCCTACCAACAAACCGACGACAAGGGGTACTTCACGGCGTATGGGTTCGCTGGAGCGAGCGCGCTCAATCAGGAGCTCGGTCACATCGTAGCAGAAGAGGACAAGTGTGTCGCTTTCCCGAACATCTACCAACACCGCGTGGACGCCTTCCAGCTCGCGGACCCGACCAGGCCCGGGTGCAGGAAAATTCTGTGTTTCTTCCTGGTCGACCCGCTCACCCGGGTTCTCTCGACGAGCGACGTCCCGCCGCAGCAGGCCGACTGGCTCGTGGACGAGATGCTGCAGATTCCGACGATACGGGAGCTCCCGGTGGAGCTGTTCGATGAAATCGCGGCGTATGCGACGGTGGGGACGATTTCGCGGGCGGAGGCGGAGGAGCATCGCGAGAGGCTCATGCAGGAGCGGAAGAACTTTGTGGTCAAGCAGAACGAGGAGATTTTCGAGATCGAGTTCAATATGTGTGAGCATTAGAGACCGTTGCTTGTGCGAACTCATAACGAAGGTCTGCAAGTCCGTTCCTGTTGGTGCCGTGCGCCGTGCGCCGTCCGCTGAGTTTTCGTATATTTCGCAGAATACGCAACATATAGTGCTCGTCCAATCATAAAGAAGTTTCAATCGCTCCTTCATAACTTCGCTCCACCGTTGTACATCTTGTGGGGCTCGTTAATGCGAAATCGTTGTCTGTCGCCGCTCAGAGTGAGCGCCACCGGCTGGCACGGCGACTACGCTTGTTCACAGGAGCAGTAGGGCTCCCTGCCATCTCGCCGCCAGACCACAATATATAGTACTGTAATCGAATGTAAGTGGGTCACACGACTCTTCAGGTACACGCGATAATTGAATCTAATACCACAGCGATTGAGTGTGTGGGGCAGTGCGACCACGGCGTAATCACCGCCGAGCTTCGACAAGCATGGAAGATAAAGTTCAGAATCACCCCTAGTACGTCCTCGTCTGACGATCACTGGCTGGATCTGCCCCGGGGTTTCATGCTCTTCCTGGTCCGGTCATCTGCGAGAAACTGTTCCCTTCGATGTTCGTCTGCCATGTACGCACGCCGACAACGCTCCTCTCTACTCGTCCGCCTATATATGCGGAGCGACGCTCACACGATGTGGTTCCGAAGCATATGCACGCGAGAGCTGGGCTATTTGGGTTACCGCTATTGCGAGCTTCTGCTGCGGCTTTCGGGATAGTAGTTAATGGTGCGTGTTCGGGAAGGCTGGGAACACGGGGTGCCGGAGGCGATAGCTGACGTGCGGAACTCAGATCCTCATGGGCAAGGCCCGCAAAGCGCCACAGTCACCGGCCCCGTGTCGCGGGCTCACGCCTCCGTGCAACCCGCTGTCACGTCTGCGTCGCAGCAAGAGCATTTCGGCTTTGTGGCAGACTCCGTTTAATCTGCGGGTGCGTAGCGAAGATACCTTTCGAAATGTCCTCTCGCCCCGAGCCCCGGTGTGCACTGTGCAGGTACGTATCATAAGCCGGCGAAAGTCATTCTCATGGGACGGAGACGCCCTCTCGCTTAGTGAGTCTTCCATTCCTCGCAGGTGTTGGACATGGCAGCAGCCCGACAGAGCGTCACGTACCCGCGAGATGCAAGTTGAGAAGGATCCCGCGCGAAGCTGTTGGGGTATCATCCGCTCCGTCCGTTGCTCATGCCCGCGCCACAGTACTTGCAGCTATAAGTTGTCCAACGTCCGGTAGATATAACTCGGGAGCTTGCCTCTTCGTTTGTGCGCATCCACTCGATCGTCCGTGCCTGACCATGGCGTCTCTACCTCAAATCCTCAAGGTTCCCTCGCTCGATAGCAGCCTCGGCGCGGTGCTTCTCGGGGTGATCTTTGGCTCCATGTACGTTTCAATTCCTCGACACAACTATCGGCGTACTGACTAACGGCGCGTCGGGAAGGTTGTATGGATTGACGGTGCATCAGACGTATAGATACTTTAAGCTCTACCCCAAGGATAGGCTATTCCTGAAGGCCCTAGTACGTCTCTCCCTGGTTTCTTACTCGAGGCGGACACCGAGTCTAAACGGGATCTGTCAGGTACTGACAATCCTGTACGTGCTCTCACCCGTGGTTCCTGTACGTAGATGCCCATCTCAAAGTATGCCAGAGTATTCGAGACGCTGCATACTGCAGTGTGGATCGTTGTCATGTAAGACATGCATAGCTATCGAAGCTGCACTTCGGGCGCTGATAGGACGACCTACGACGTAGCTATCATTATGCCATCACGGATGCCTTCAACCTGATTGACATCCTTCGCGGTCACTGGTGAGATTCTTGAGCAGTTAGCTGAGATGTTATCTCACGATCGTCCTGTCACACTAGGTCTGTACGGGTGCGTCGCGGCTCGCTCTACACCTCGGGCTTCAGAAGTGTTCTAATTGTGTCTATATGTTACAGTTTACTTTCCTGATAACTGTAAGTGCGCGTTTCCTTTTCGCCCTAGATAAATTGAGTTGAAATGGCATCAGGGCCTCGCCGTCTTCGCATGCCAAGTGTAAGCACATGCAATCTAGCCTCGGCGTTATCCTGGTACTTACGCACGCATTCGCGGATATCATATCCTACGATATAGCTTTTACGTGCGCCGTGTATTCCTCAGTGCGTACTTTCTTCCTGATTACGGCCACCTTTAACGATTGGGCGCAGTCGGTCCTCACTATCGTTGGCTTGTTGTCCCTGCGGTAAGTGACATCCGGCCTGCTCATGAACTACGCACATGACAGGACTCAATTCAGGTTATATCAATGTTTGGAGGGCTGAGTACGTTGATAAATCATAGTCTGCCATACGACGCTAACACGACACCTATCACTCAGGCTTTGCGGTCGGTGAGGGACTCGCTGCGGTACTTTCAAATTTGAATTCTCATTACAGGTTCATTGTAGCTGCAGGGATCGAAGCGTGCGTCCTGCTCTTTGCGACGGGCTACGCTATTCGGGCTACTAATTCACTCGTTTGCAGCTTCTTGACTGCGCCTTTCGTTGTCGACCTGCAGCACATCAGCGTATGTATCCTGTTGTTGCGCTCTAGGGCGAGACTGATGTGTCCCGCACCCGTCAGTGGCTTGTGTCCATAGCCTACGGATTCGCGGTGGCGACGGACGTCATCCTGACAAGCGCGCTCGTATTCGTTCTCCGTAAGTCTCGCACTGGCTCAAAGAGGTGAGCCTTGAGAAATGCCACGATTAGTTTCGTCGCCTGAGATACCAAACTTGAACTTGTTCTACATAGGACGGACTCCATGCTCGATACTCTGATTTTGTATGCGGTCAATACCGGTATGCGAGCGACCTGCACTGGCGTCGGAGTTGATCTAACAGGCTCGGTCGCTGAACAAGTTTGCTGACGAGGTATGAGGGATCGGTCGCGTGAACGACCTGCACGAGGCGGTGAGCTTACTTGAAGGCACCACAGCGTCATCGGTATCATGGCCTTCATCTTCGTGAGTCCCGAGTTACTTTATTGCCATTCTGGACGCGTGCTGAATAGGCGAACTACAGGCCATCGTTATCCCAGGAAACCTCATCTATGCCGCGGTCAGCATCGTGGGCGCTAAGCGTACGTTGATGAGACGAACGATGGTTTTTTCGGGGACGCTGACATGACTTGCAGTGTACGCAAATTCGGTGCTAGCTGTGTATGGTGAAATAATTCTCCTTAGTTTTCGCATCCTCACGACCTTCGTTAGCTTGAACTCTCGACGCTCGATCGACAACCGGTTCCTGGACGACTTCACATCCTTCAGTCTTGAGGCCCTTGCGACTAGTGTACCCTCCAGGCAACCGCCGCAGACATGCAGAATGGACCTCGAGTCTATGGTGTACAACGTCCCTGAGGTGCGTGATCCAGCAATGCTTCGAAGATACTATCACCTTATTTTCGACTTACCCAGATATATCCGTGCATGTCAAAGACGTCAACCATGCGCGCTCAGGGAACAACCTTTTCGTCAGCAAGTGAAGGCGAGGTGGGAATAGGAATATAAGATCGTGCGATGATGGGGTGGAGTTCAAAGCGCCGTGACCGTACCGCCGTACCAGCGATCTCCCGACGTCTGCTATCTGTGCTTTTCCCTGGGATTGTGCTTCTATCTCATCCTTTTCTCGTCAGCGCAAGACACTCTCACCCTTCATTAGCTTCGATCGAACCGTGTACCACACTAGCGCTGACGAGCAAGGACGCACGCCGCTATATGTATCCTCACTTGGACCCTCGGCCGACGTGCAGTGTCACATGCGTTCCTGCGCGGGAGTGCGCTCTCGTTCGAGCTCGACGGGTGTCCAGTACCGAACGTTCGTGAACCCTCCGTCCGGGAATATGCCGGCGGACTCCCGAACACGAACTCCACGCCCCAGCCACACTCCAAGATCGACGAGGAGTGGCAGGCGCGCACCGACGCGTGCGTCCTGACGTTCTGCTCGCTGAATCGCGCGGGCAGCACCCTGTGCGCGTGGCACGACTCCCGTCGGGAGCGCCGCAAGTACCCGCCCCGCATGGCGCCCTAGGGATACCTCAACTGCGGGTGCACGTTCGAGGAGGCGTTGTTCGAGGAGAGCCTCTCACGCTAGGGCGTGGGCAGCTACCGCCCCGAAAACAGCCTCCGCATGGACCCCGGGCTCAGGAACTCGCTGCTGCTGCATCTGCAGACGCGCTACGAGTACCGCGACGGTGACTTCGAGTGCGACACGCGCACCAGCAACTGGGTCGAGTGCGAAGGTCCTGAAAAGTGGGAGCAGAAGGCCGCGTCCAGCGGGGCGTACTCGAGACGCACCAGCACGGAGGCCGACCGCCGCTCTATGTGATGAACACCAGTGTATGACGCGTGCCACCGTGTATGCCATGCGAACTATGAACAGTTCGCGTCTGCTGATGAGGAGGCCCCGATGAGCTATTCAATCATCTTGTGTATACGGTTACTCGCCTTTCCTGAATTGGAGCAACTTTCACCCACGGGCGACGCCACCGCCGTGAGATGCTCAACAAGTATCCTGCAGCCAGATCATCAATGTTGGTCCTAGTGACGCACGAAGGCAGTAAGTGACTTGCATAACACTCTCCGGGCAGACCAAATAACTGAACTTCAGGGATAATATCCCAGCAGCTGAGTGCGTAGGCCACGTCGCCGCTCAGCATCTTGAGGCAGTCCTGCGGCACAGCACAATCACAGCTGGGCTTAGACAGGCATGTATAGGTATGCTAAGAGCAATGCCTAGTGCGTATCCGGCTTGCGATCATCATCTGCACCTGTCCCGGGGTTTCTTCTCATCGTGGTCCGCCTGTCATGTATACGTGCTGGCGCAGCGCGCCCGTAGCCTCTTCTCTACTTGCGTCTGGGTAGACACTCACAAACGTTACTTTGAAAGGTATGCACTTGATACCAAGAGCAAGTTCCGTGATGGCTGTCGGAGGACTAACCTTGCGCGTGTGCTTGTAAGGGCTGCGCCTGGGGCGGGGGCGGAGGTCATAGCTCATGTGCAGAGCTTCGATTAATATCCCTGCGGAGCTTCCTACTGACAACCGCCACACACGCAGCCTATCCGTAACCCCTACTGGCATGCGATATGTCCATGAGCTTCTCGCGTCAAACTCGCTGTCATGTCGTACGACACAGCGCCAACAGTTCGAGCTCACGGAAGGAGCGTTTCAACGTACTAGTACATAGTACAGGCAAATTTCTGGCATGTCCTCTAGCTAATCTGTGGCCGCGACAGTGACTGATACATTTCATGCATATGTGCATCCTAGGTCGTCTACACTGGCCCTCAAGTTTGTAGTGGCACCCACTGTCTGAGGACCATCCTTTCGTTACGCACGTTTTATATGACAGCTGTCTAACGTGGCATCTCTCATCGCTCAGGCTCGCAAGATGCGGCTTCACAAGTACCCTTTGAAGCTGGTGGCGTATCATCTGCTGTAATAGTCGCTACGCAGCTTTGCGTCTACACCGAGACTATATATTGACAACCTGATCGAGTATCAGAGGCTCCCTCAAGTTCATTTACACCATCTGCAGGCAGCCGCATCATCGTTCGTCTTTGCCCAAGCCTCGATGTCTCTATCTCAACTCCTTCACATTCCCTCGCTGGATGACAGTCTCGGCGCGGTGCTCCTCGGCATTATCCTAGGCTCCATGTACGTCGGAATCCACTGTCTACGTTTTCCTAATTCTAATCGGTGTTGTTATTGATGTTTGACCGTAATCTCGAAGGCTGTATGGATTGACCGTACATCAGACATACAGATACTTCAAGCTCTATCCCAAGGATGCGCTGTATCTTAAGTCGCTCGTACGTCTCCTTTTGATGTCTCACTTGATCAAGATGACTTAGCCTAAAGCGGGATCTGCCAGATACTCGTAATCCTGTACGTGCTCACCTCACAGGGTCTATGTATGAATGCTGATTTTTCCGCGCTTTAGTGTGTTCGAGACGCTACATACCGTAGTGTGGATTATCGTCATGTGAGCCAAGGACACCCTGTCGATGAGACAAGTCCAGTGCTGGTGATAACCCTCTCTTATAGATATCATTATTCTATCACCGAGGCGTTCAACTTCATCGATACTCTTTCTGAGTGGAGCTCGGTCTTATACATCAGCGAAAGTGCACGATTGTTGCATGAACATGCAATGCAGCGCCAAATAGGCATGTCTATAAAAGGCACGGATAAGGTTTGCAAACCTTCGCCTTGCGCGCCCGTTTTATACAAACCTCCGGCTCGCGCGCCCTATATTTGTAGAAATAGCCCCGCACCCTGCAGTCTGCAAACTTGTCACCCGGCGGGATGTAGGTTTGCAAACTCATACAAGAGGAGCATAGTACTCATAGGATTCCATGTTGTATTCGAGAAGGAGGGCGGCTGGAGATCGTTCAGAATGTATTGCATCAGTGCGAGAATGTCATGTCAATATCCAGTCAAAACATATAGGCTACAATGGTGCAAAACCCTCGATGTCATACTCATCCGGGACCACCTGCTCATCGCCCACAGATTGAGCATCGACTATCACTGCTGCTTCCTCGTCATCGCCGCTCTCATCGCTCGCATCTTCGTCTGATGGATCCCCATCGAGCCCGTCATCGTCAAACCGGATGTCTCCTTCGCCCTCGCGCTGGTCATGGAACAGCTGCGCCTCCCTACGCAAGGCCTCGGCCATACCTGCCGCGAGCTCCGGAACTAGCTGCAACAGGTCGTCCTCATGTTCGGCTGGTACCGGCACAGCGTCGTCCTCGATGACATCCTCGGCATCTTCTTCCATGACGACATCTCTGGTGGTTTCCAACTCACGGCTCACGGCGCCGCCAGCATGCGTCCCCGGGCCTGGTTCGGGCACATCTTCATCAGCTACGGCGGTCACCGATGGGATGCGGAGGCCCTGGTGCCCGATGCCGTCCCCGTAGTACCGTAGTACCATGTCGCGATCCACGAAGCTGCAGTATAGACCTTAGTGAGTCTCCCAATGGTGGTGACGCGGTGGGGAGATACGTACAAGTTGACGTAGTGGAAGCGAAAGTCGGTGTCTTCCTCACCGGAAATATCAGACCTGCCAACCACACCGCGAGCAAGCGATGGCGAAAGGAGGTCCTTTGTGCGCCCATCCAGAAACGCCGGAATTAGATGTACGCCGCGGACGACATCCGCAGGATCAACAAATCCGAACGCGTCGGTATCGGCCGGCTGAGCCGCAGCATCTTGAGGCACAAACGTGAGGCGGTGGAAGCGCTTCTTGGCGAATCCTCCAGGTGCCGTGTTGTCGAGTTGAAACCAACGTACAAAAAGGACGTCGAGCCGCTCAGGCTCGCCACCCTTTCCGGCTTGCATTGGATGAATATTGACGTGGAAGATCTTGATGACGCGCGCATACCAGAACTTGTGTGTCTCTGTCGATGGTGCAAGCAGGAGGATGTCGGGGTGTGTGCGGGGGTTCACAGAGTCCTGCGTGCGACGCCTGTCATACGTGGTGTAGTTGACTCGCAAGACCTGATGCCAGAAGATCCGGTTGTTAACAATGAGAACACGCGGCTGTTCGGCGTCCCCGCTGTGGAGGTGGAGAAGGCGCTGGAGGAGGTGCTCTTTGAGCTTCGGGACGAAGTCCTGTCGACTTGTGAGTACAATGTGGGCGGCACCGAGAGTGGACTCGGAAGACATACAACAAGTGCGGGGTCGTTAGGGAAAGCACGCAGCCAGGCGGTAATCTCGTCTGAGTCGCGTCGAGAGGTCGCTACGTGATAGCGGTCGGCAGGGGAACTGTACGGGAGTGGCGCACTTGAAGGGTGAGTGGACGGTACCAGTGGCGGGGCAGGGTCGACAGCCATCGGGGCGTTTGCAGCATCTGCGTGGGCCGCCGATGCGACCTTCCGTGTGTACACTGCGTCGACACGGGCCTTGATGATCTGAAGCTTCACTGCGCGACGCGCATGTTGCGCGATCTGGAAGGTGAAATTGATCTTGTTAGTACGTGTGTAGAAGCGCTTGACGTGCTTGTGCTCGAGCTCGCCCTGCGGGAATTGCATGTCAACTTGGCTCAACACTGCCAGCAAGCAATTAGGATACTGACGATCTGTGTGCTATTGTTATCAGTCGACCCATGGCCACGGATCGAAGGCGGATAGTCGCGCATGGCATGGAGCTTGTAGGTATTGCAATTGAACAGCTTGCGTTTGCGGATTGAGGTTGTTCCAGCGATCGCGGCTGAGCGACGTCCACGCGCGGCTGCTTCCTTGGGTAACTCGACGGTGACGTACCGAGCGCAAGTCGTCTTCGCGAAGAGGCGCACACTCTTCCCGAACTCGACGGTAAAAATGTCCAGTCCGTCGATAGTATCCTCTGTGTGCTCTCGTAGCTTGCCAAAGGCGTGCCAGGCGCCGGAGTCAAAGCAGAGGTCGAGGATAATCTCGTTGTCTTGTCGCAAGGGCATTATGCCCTCGATAGCAGGCATAATGCACTGTGAGGTGTCAGCAGAGGTGTAAGTGTACAACTGCTGCACACACCTTCACCCGTGCTTCATAGTCCCGTGCAGCAAGCTTGCCCGTATCGGAGACGTTGGAGGAAAAGCGTCGAATGGTGCTGCGGCCGAATGTGGGGATCTGTCGAAAGCTGTTCAAAACAAGAACAATGTCAGCGAGGGCAAAGACGTTGAAGGTATCATCAGCACGGACCGTTTGTTGAACACTTGGATCCTGTCTTCCCCGACAGCATGTAGAAGTCGTAGGATATGTGTGAAGATCGACTTCCACACGCCAATTTCGAACTCGTGTAGAAGGTCGGGGACAAAGAGGGAGTAGAAATTGAACCCGTGTTCGCGGAGACGAGTGGAAAAGGCGGACTATGGGCCATCGTGAGTGCTTTCCTGTACAGACGACATGTGGTGAACGTACTCGTGTGGGCGTTGCTGAGATGGGATCCAGGACACGGGAGATGTACACGCTGCCAAGTGACATCCCATCTTGGAAGATCCATTTGCGCGTGAGACTGATCCGAGCGTTCAAGTCCTTGTCGTCTATTCGAATCCAGTTTCGCCGATTGAGGTCGTTCATGGTCCCCATCTCAATGATCTTGTCTTTGTTGATTCGACATCGTGGGCATGGACATCGCGCGAAGTACTTAAGACACGAGAGAATGATCCTGATAACTATCAGTGAGGATGAATCACGCCAGTGTTCACAGCGGGTACGTACTTTTCAGGATAATCAGCCGCATATAGAAGAAACCTGATGAACATCCGCCGTTGGATGCCATCGCCGCAGAAGATTATAAGCCCATGCACATAGGCGTACATGAAACGCTCGTCCATCAGCAGTAGCCAGATCTGTTGCATCAATTCTCGTTTGAGGAAGGTGAGGACAGCAGCAGTGGCAGCAATCTGGAAGACACGAGTGTACCAGTCTTGAAATTTATCCGGTAGCTATCAAACAGGTTCAGAAAAGGACGCGCAAGCCGGATTTTATTAGGCCGTGATGGCGACTCACAGAGGGCATGTAAGCAATATGGTGGCCTGCAAATGCGGTGGGCTTTCCCCGGATGTATTTGCTCTGGGAGAGCAGGTATCCGTATACGGGCCAGAGCTTTGCTGAGCTGAACTGGGTCAGATGGGTTGTATCCGACCATAGCCCGACGGGCGCAATGCCATACTCGAGCCCATCGGGATCACCGGCCTCGCGCGGCCGCGCCCTCATAGCCGCATCTTCTTCGTAGATCGCATCGGCATGGTAGGCCTCACTGTATACGCGTATGCCGCCAAGTGGGTTCTCCAAGTCCGAGTCAGCAGAGGAAGACGATGAGCTCAAGTCCGAGTCCGAGTCAGAAGATGAGTCCGATGCACCAGAAGAGGATGATGGGCCACGACCGTTTTGCGAGACCGGGCTCGGACCGTCGCGTAACCAGAACTGCTTCGAGGGGATTATGTGCCAATCTTTTACGCAGGGGTCGCGGTAAGCAGCGTCAATGACGTCTACAAGGGAACGGTGGTAGAGCCCGTCAACGACGAACTCCGGGGCTTCCTCTTCTGAGGCGTAGCAGACACCTTCCTTCGGTACCCGTATCTTGACACTGCTGTGTATCCAACCGTCGCGTGGTGACAGCGGTGACGTCTCGCTCTCTTCGTAATAGCTGTCGAGGCGGTCCCCTTCTCGTGCGGCGTTGAAGTTTGCGACATCTGCCGCTCGAAAGTCCGGGTGCTGCAACAAGCCGCCTGCCAGTCCGTTGATCTCGCTGTTGGATTTGACATTCGAGTCGTTGTTCTGCCAAGCGAAGAGACTGTACGTGGAGAAGTTGGGGAAGGGGGCATAGGGGGGACGGTCCGCGGCCATAGTCTTCTCAAGGCCTGATGGTGCCTTGGGAAGCACATCTGGGCCGGATGGGGGGAAATTGGCGGCGGGGAATGAGCTCGTCTCACATAGGGCATCTAGGGAAGGCTTGTCGGGGATGCTCTGAGGCCTGATAGGATAAACGAGATACAATCCATGCTCGTCTGGCTCAGTGACATAGACGAGCGATGTGGGCTCATCAGGGGAGGAGGAAGTCGTGCGGGAAGAGGGAGGAACCGGCATATTTGCAGGCACCGGTGAAGGCGAACGAGCCGGCCGTACGGGAACTGGTATCAGGCGTGGCTGGACTCGGAGGTGGGTGGGCAGACCAGTGTTGGATGAGGGTACATGGTCTCGCAGTTTGGCCGGCAACCTCCGTACTCGGCCTGAGCGAGCAACTGTAGCAGGATCTGGCGGCAAAGGCTCCTCAGGCTCAGGACTCGGAGAACGTGGGTGAACATCGACCTGTGAAGCATTGAGGTATCAGTCTCTGCAACTGGTTTATGAATGTAAGTTTTATATGCACCTGAGGGATATCATCAGCCTCTCTTTGTCGCTTCGCCTCCTGCTTGCTCTTCACAAGCTCAGCCTCATCCGCACGTCGCTTGCGCAGGATTTCGGGGAGCGCATGTCGACTACTCGGGCAGTCTCGAAGATGACGGCTGTACTTCGCCCCTTCAGCGAATTCGGCTCTGCACCCCAAGCATTTATAGTTAGGTGCCATAGTAGAGAAGTGCTCAAGCTGAAATCGACATGGTACAGAGGAGGAACCAGATCGAATAGCCGATGCGATCACTGGGACTGTACAGTGGCGCTTGAGTTTTCGCCAGCGCCACCACGTGACCTCTCACACTCGACGCCTCCTCACGCCTGCAATTTTTTCTCATTCCTAATTCCTCCCCATACTCTCTCCCTCACCCGCAAAGATGGCTAAGAGACGCGAACGTGAATACAGGGACCTACGTGAGCTCTACAAGCTGAAGAACAAACACGCAAAGGTTGCACGGATGCCTCCGCGTACCCTTACTGTAGCACCCACCAATGCGAGCACACCCAGCTCGTCGGCACCGGCTAATCCGACAGCCTCAAACTCTAACGCACAAGAACCCCCACAGCTTCCTGTGCCTGCTCAGGCACCTACTAATGCGCTAGTAGCCGAAGCCGGCAGGACATCCCCGGGTGCTCCCACCGCCCCGAGTTCCTCGGATATGAGCGAGAACGATGAAGACCAGACGGCTCAACGTCGCCACAAAAAACTCAGGCATGTCATCGGAACAATGCAGAACGATCTGGACAGGCACAGGTAAGGGTGCACTTGCGGGTGACTACACATTGATGATGCATATTGGTAGTGTGTCTGCCGGCATCCAAAACTATCATATGCAAGCCCGGCAAGCCGCCCGAGTGATCTCGCCCTTCATGCGTCCGATGGAGACACTTCTATTCGGAGTGCAAGACGATCTCGAGGATGTGGATAGCGATTCTGATGACGAGGCCGCCGGCACTACGCGCGCTGAACGCGCTGAGCGGTACGCCTCCATAGCCCAGCCCATGAACGCTAGTTCTTGCTCACTTTCGCGCATCCTAGGAAACACGAGCGGAAGCGGAAGCACGAGCTGCGATCGCAGTTCCGGGAACTGCTGGACCTTATTCCAGACATGAAGAGCGACATTCAGTATCTCGATGCAGACGACCTCATTACACTCGGCTCCTACGTAAGTCACATCTCTCCCCACCCTATCAGCATGATAATCAGCGTTCTCCACAGATCAACAACCGGGTGATGGCTGTTCGTGGAGACGATGGCGGACTAATCCGGGATGCGGTCATTAAGTACATGGGTCGCAGCAAAACCAGCGACAAGTTTCTGCTCGCGCCCTCTGACTTGGACAAGGGTCTTCGTGGGTGGCACAATGAATTCACAGCGCGGATGCTGTGCCCGCAGGTATCGCTGGTCCGGTTTGAAGAAGGGTGGGAAGAGTAAGCACTTCGCGGCTGATATGCGCTGTAGGCTGACTAAATACCGCCTAGCTTCGCCGCAATGATCATGGCCGGGCCCACCGGTGCTGATGAGGAAATCCTACGGGGCGGAAATTTCCCTTCTCTTCTGTACGACCAGGACCTCGCCGATCCTCTGGACCCACTCAAGGGGCTCCTTCGCAGCCCGTACTTGAAGATGGTAAGTCACTGGATACTCCTCCGCCATCTGCTACTCATGCTCTTCTTACAGTGCGTCAAATCCCTCTGGACTGGCCCGGGATCTGCAGCCTTGGATGCCGGCCGCCAGGCGAAAACCCCAGGCCAGTCTCCCATTGCATGGAAGTACCGGGTTGTGCATATCACGCCTCGCATGCTGGCCTACACGGCTGTTCAGGTGCGTCATACCACATCTCGGAGACTCCAACTGGCGTCACTGATTACTGCCCTCGGCTGCGCAGGTCCGATATGAGCTCAGCAGTCTCATTAAGTTCGGGACCACCGATGTAGGAGCATTCAACGGTAATGAACTCTTCGACGAGATCGTCGATCTGTTCTCCGATCCTGTGTCGGAGTGGTGCAAGTCCACGCTTGCGTGGTGGGACCAGTGAGTCCCGTTTGAGATGTCTACACCGCAGTCTGACATAACGACCTCGTTCTAGACAGGTCTTGGCGAATATCACATACAGGCCCGTGTACGTCGTGGAGCGGCAAACACTCACGGTGGCAGACAAGATGCGCGCTGAACGCCGGAAAGTCAAGAAGGCACGCGAGGCCGCGGATCGCCACCTCTCGTATGTATTCCTATTTTTGCGGCTCTGTTGATACTTACACAACAATCTACAGCGAGCGTTTGGCTGGGTCATTGACCTAAGCCTCCGACACCACCGTCCCGACTTCGACATGCTCGCTTTCTTGTCACCGCCCGATGTTGCTACTCCCTCCGCTAGTGCGCCCTCATTCCCATCGTTGTCTCGCTGTTCCGTTCTCGCGCTCCTTGTCCCTATCGTCCTGCCCCCCTGTTCTCGCACTCCTTGTCTCTATCGTCCTGCCCCGGTGCCTGTGTTGTTCCTGTTGCGCTCTCGATCATCACCCTTAAGCTGCACGAGCTAATCTCGCCAACGTTTCTTGAAGGCTCCACCATATACTACTCACCATAGCCTGAGTCGTCTCCGCCTCACCTCGCCCATTCCCGGCTCGCTTCATCATGTAGGATATAGGCTCCATGTATACACTAGGCTTTATAAATACATTTATCGAGCTCATATTGAGACTGTCCGCTGGTGGGTATCGGGCCAATCCTAAGAATAAGGCAGAAGGCTTGGGCCCCGGTTGTGATATTTATGCAGACTTCACAGCTCATTACATACATTGGGCATACTGTGCATGCCTTCGCCGCGCGAGGCGGATGTTTACCAGGCAAGGCAGGTTATGCAACGCGCGCCTATGGTCTGCAGACCTTTGACCTGATCGTTGCAGACCTTCACCGCGCGTGGTGACCTTTGCAACGCGCCTCCATATATGCAAGGCTCTGCACTGCCTAACATACTTTTGTGCAGTTTTGCTGATGACTACTTATTTTGATACCCTAGGTCCGTGCAGGTACGTCGCAACCTAGCTAGCATCAATCTCTCGGGTATATAGAATTCACTACTTCTTGCCAGTTCACCTTCCTCGTAACCGTAAGCCGAGTACCTCATGAGTCTGCGATGGGATATCACTCAACGGGAGATGCTATAGGGCCTTGCCGTCTTTGCCTGCCAAAGGTAAGCACGACGTAGGATCCTCCATTATTGGTCGTCCTCACACGCAGATTTGCATACAGTTTCTATGCTTGCCGGGTGTTCCTTGGTGCGTATGTACCCCTCGTGCGGCGTAGTTACCCTTCTAATGGCTAAATATAGTCGGCCCTCGCTATCGTTGGCTTGTCATACCTGCGGTAAGTGGTATCAGCCCTTCGAGTCGCTGCTGGCATGTATGACAAGGTTCTGCACCGCGCATGGTCACAGGTCGTGTCGATGTTCGGAGCATTGGGTAAGTCGCCATGCGTTGAAATCGCATGCAAAATTAACATAAATCATCTTACTCAGGCTTCGCAGTCGGTAAGAGGCTCGTTGCAACGTCATGCATGCAAGTTACTCATTTGATGCGCGTTTCGCAGCTGCTGGGGTTGAAGCGTATGTCCACCAAGACGCGTCCCGCTTTATTTGCTGAATTGATGTTTCTTACCGCAGCTTCATAACTGCCCCTCTCGTTTCCGATCTGCAGCATATCAGCGTAAGTCGCTTGTTGCTGCATCTATCAAGATTTCATCGCAAGCTCTCTTCAATATTAGTGGCTCGTGTCTATAGCCTATGGGCTTGCGGCAGCGACGGACATCATCTTGACAAGCTTGCTTGTCTTCGTGCTTCACGTGTCTCGCACTGGCTCCAAGAGGTGCGTTTTTAGAACCTGAAAGATATGTTACTGGCTTCGAGTCGCCCCAGACACTGAACCTCATTTATCTAGGACGGATTCCATACTTGATACGCTGATCATATACACTATCAATACCGGTACGCCTTTACATTCAGACTCCACTGCTGTACTGATAAAACCTCGATACTGACTCATAGACTTGCTGACAAGGTATGAGACCCTAGTCGCTGGTAGGGTGCGCATGTCCGAGTCGCTTCGGTCGCTCACACGAAGCACCATAGCATCGTCAGCATAGTCGCCTTCGTACTCGTCGGTGCTTATTCTCTACATGCTTTGAAATCGTGCTGAACAGACATACCAGGCCCTCGTCATGCCGGGAAATCTCGTCTATGCGGCTGTTAGCATAGTGGGTGCTAAATGTGCGTTGTACGGCCCGCAAAGACCATCTCTGCGATACTGACCCGACTCGCAGTATACGCCAACTCCGTGCTAGCTGTGTATGATTCCTTTCCTTTTTTCGGTGTTAAGTGGTTTGCTCATTGCCCTGGCTGGCATTAGACTTAATTCGCGACGCTCAATCGACAACCGGTTCCTCGACGACTTCACGTCCTTCAGCCTTGCATCCCTGGAAAATACATCATCTGGCATGCAACAGTCTCACGTCCGTAGGGAGGAACTTGAGTCTATAACATGCAACATTCCTGTGGTGAGCGATCCAGTGTCTTGCCGAAGACCTGGGCCCCGAATACTTGACTTATAGACTGACCTAGGTATACCCGTACACATCAGAATCCCCAGCTTTACGGGCCCAAAGCATCACGTTTTCGTCTGCGAGTGACGGCGAGGTAGGGGCTGGAATGTGAACAAGGTCATGTAGCGATGGGGGCATGGGTATACGCGACCAGTGACACCGTGATGTACCCTTTCGACGACGGGATTGCGCCGCAGTGTATGGGCTCGTCCACGAACGTGAATATTTATGTACCATTTTATCCTGCTTATTTCTACTGTTGGGTGTCTTCGCGTATAACGATTCCTTGTACAATTTCTTCGCAATCTCTTTCAAGCCGTCACGTATGCGTGTACCTTGCATTGTCAAACTATCAAAGGTCGTTCTCGGAACACTCGGACCCCATACTTTGGTGCGGATGGTATCGAATGCGCCGGGTACCACGATCCAGTCTGATGAAAAACCTTTCTTGCTGTCGCTGCGAGCGACAAGTTCTAGATCTGTCGGCTGGTAGCGAGACTGACAACGACACCGTATGTCATTTTGACCATGCGAGCAGAGACGAAATGTTCAATGTGTAACAGCGGCAGTGCGTCGGCCAGACGATCCTGTCGGTGGGTGAGTACGCGGCACAGTGGGGGGACGTTCCATACAGCGCACCCAGAATTCGGGGAAGTCGGCTGTACTCGGAAGGTGAGCTTGCAGTCTGAGCGTGAGCGCGCGGACACTGCTTAGCGGCGGATCCCGCAGGCGATCGAGTTCGGAGTAGCCAGGCATTGTCGCCACCATTGAGCACCTGCGACGCAACGTCGAGGACGCCTTTCTTACAACACAAAGCAGCGGTTCCCAACGGCCACTGCATATTCTCGAGCGTTCTACAGATGATGACGCCATCTTTGGACATCTTGCGGGGCCGAGTTTGGGATGCGAGCTGAGCGCTGAGGATCGCTTCGACGCATGCGAACTCGAGGACCCGAGATTGGCCGCTTTCTTGATTCCGGGAGCAAATAAATTGGCGATAGAGGATCCAATCAGGGTTTCCTTCGCGAAGTGAAGTTCGTAGAGGTATCTCCAGCGTTTGCCCTTGTCTGGGCGCATGAAGCGGAGGGAGAGGGCGATTTCTCAGTCGGAACGGAGTGTGACTCCTCCGTCTTCCAGATAGTACCGGGCGGCGATATGGTAGAGCGCATCGCATGTTTTGATGAGCGCGGGTAGTGTCTCAGGTTCGCAGAAAGTCGCTACGACGAGTAAGACATCGATATTTAACGTCGTAGACGCTGTTGACTACCAGAGGTGCACGCCACGTTAACGAATCGCATGCATACTAGGGACGTGGAAGGTTTGGCACTACATACCTTCATCATTTCGGTATACGGTGTGACTTCCGTTCACCTCATGTACATCCTCGTCTAATGTTGAGTGTTGTGCGTACAGTGTTGGCTGACTCGGAGGGCTCTAAACAGATGGCGTGGAGCTGAGCCGACTGAGGCTGGGCCTGCCTGCGGAGGAGATCGGCGGGCTTCGAGGCCTGAGGTCTTGTTACGAGCCTATCCTGCAGTTGGGGTTCCATGGTGCTCCTTTTATGTGTTCGAATGGTTCTGAGCACGTACGGCGAGGAGATAAAACGGCGAGGACATCACAAAAAAGGCGGGCAAATGGTAAGCGTGATAAGGATTTCCGTTGTAACAACGTATTAGAATCCTGATCTAATCTCGTTCTCGGTGGCAAGCGCCACAATCATTGCACTGCTCTTGCAAGGGTCTCGCAACCTGCGCAATCCTTGCGCCCATCTTGCAACCTCTTGCAATCTCTGGCCAGCCACTTACAATTCGCGCGCTCGTTTTTACCGGGACCTCGTGCAACTATCGGACGTTCTGTACAGTTCCTCGGCGGAGATTGAATCTCAGTCTCCTAGTGACGAGCAACTCTCGCGCCCTCTCTCTCGCTCCTCTCTCACTCTCTCCCATCCTCGAGGCCTGCGGTCCCTCCCTTCTGTCCCGTGCCTTCGTAAAACACCGGTACCTTTGTCTCCATCCCCAGTCTTGTACTAGATCTCGTGCGCACGTCTTGTGGGAACTGAACTACTCGAACCTTCGTCTAACTGCTCGTACTCAGACTGGTACTCCGGACTTGTCTTTGACCAGCACACTTGTACTCGGGCTCCTGGCGGGTTTTTAGCTGGCCACTCTCCCTGACAACGTGCTCGTGCCGTACTTGAATGCTGGCTTTCTATGCTAGGGGCCCCGTGTCTTCCTCGTTTGCCTCGCTGTGCCTATCCCTGGCTGTCGTCACCACGTGGCTGTCCTCGCTCGCTGTCTCGCTCGCTGTGATGAAGGCTATCCAGCTGTCCGGTCTCGCGGTCTTTTATCCCGCGTGACGGGGCGCGTCTCGTAGCACATATCGTAGTACCAGTAGCGTGTATGTATAGTAGCACCAACGTCCAGTTGCATGTATGTTCTCGGCGTCGAAATATATATTATTTGGTTCCCCTGAATCTACCGCGCATAGTATGATCCGGATTGGAAAGCAAGAAATATGCTAGCATCATACACCTTGTTTGCGCGCAGGATGATTGGAAACTTTGGAATATTTGGGGCTTTTAGAATAATTGCGACGGTTGTAAGGGGCTCAACGTCATCCGAGTGATATTATGATGGATTCAAACTAGAGATCATTGGGTACCTTACAACCGATTGCCAGTCCATTTTAGCTGGATTATATCACATTGCAAGATCGCGGTCAAATCTGTGATGGAGGAGAGCTCCCTTCCAGGGCACACGCGACAGAAGCGCTCGTTCTCGGGATATCCCGCCCTGCCGGCGTCTCTTGGTACCTTGGTCGGCCTCTTCTTCGCGCCCATCGTTCACCTAGACTCGTCGGTGTTCCTTCTCCGCGTCCCTGTAGGCCTCAATTCTCATCTACGGTGAACGCAATTACGCCTCTTTACCCATTTGAGGAGATTACGACCCGTCCGGCTTGCGCACTTGCTCTCTGCTCTTCAGTTCTCTCTCTGGCCCTCACCTGCTTCCGCTCTAGTCCCGACATCGGCACTCACTCGTGTCTCTTTTGCTTTTCTCGTTGGTCATATATCTGCACCCTGCGCTTCTGGGAGGCTGAGACTATGTGAACCAGGCGCGATCGAACATTAAAAACAAGGCATGCACCATCCCTTCACCATTCCCAACGACGCACATCCGTGTAAACGGGCTTGTCGAGTGGCATCAACTCCTCAAGATCCTGGAGCCGTAGGAGAGACGGATAGTACCAATGCCGCACGACAGGCTACAAGGCTCCTCATGGCGTCAAGTCTGTTCAGTCACCCTCGCCGTTCCTACCCTAGGGCAATCGTATCCACCACGCTCATCGAGCTACGCATGCGCCATTTCCCGGGGATGGTCTGCGAGAACATGGGCTGGTGGGAGAATGCTCACGGCGACCTTTTCGTGAAATGGCATGCCGGGGTGGTCGGGTGAGGCCGCGCAGCGGCCAGCAGGTTTTTTGGTAGGTGAAGGGAGGTATCACCACGGAAAGATGAAGTGGCCGTGCGACGAGAGGTATGTGAGATTGTGTTCAATATATGTGAGCACTAAAGATCGTTGCTCATGCGAACTCATCGCCAAGGTATGCAAGGTGTGCTGCTGCCGCGCATTGCGCGCTGACTATTCAAATCACAGACTGCATGCGGTGCTCGCCCCATCTCAGAGAAGTCTCTCCATTTTCCTTGACGACTTCGTCGCGCGATTGTACATCTTGTGGTGATCGTTAATGCGAGATCGTTGTCTGTCTTCGCTCAGAGTGAGCGTCACTGTGGCAGGCGCGGCAACTCTACGCCTCGTCCGCAGGAGCAGCAGGGTACCCGCCATTTTGCCACCGGACCACATAGTGCTGTAATTGAAGGTACGTGGCACACACGACTCTCCAGGTACGCGCCATGATCGAATTTAATACCACAGTGGCTGAGTGCATGTGGGGCAGTACGACCGCAGCGCATTCACCGCCGGGCTTCGACAAGCATGGAAGATCACGGTCAGAACCACCCCAAGTACGTCCTTGTCTGACGATCGCTGTCTGGACCCGTCCCGGCGTTACACGTTCTTCCTGGTCCGGTCATCTGCAAGAAGCTGTTCTCATAGATCATGCCCACACGCCAACGAAGCTCTCCCGTATTCGACCGCCTGTGTCTGCGGACAGATGCTCGCACGATGTGGTTCCGAAGCATGTGCACGCGGGCGCTGGGCTATTTGAGTTGCGGTTACCGTGAGCTTCTGCTGCGGCTTTCGGATAGTAGTCAATGGTAAGTGTTCGGGAAGGCCGCGCACACGGGGAGCCAGAAGCGATAGCTGACACGGACACGCGGAACCAAGATCCTCACGTCCGAGGTCCGCAAAGCGCCACCGCCACGGCCCCAGTGCTGTGAGTTCATGCCTCCGTGCAGCCCGTTACAATGCCTGACACACGGCGCAGCAAGAATCCTTCAAGTTTCTCACAGAACCATGTTCAACCTGCGGTTGCGTGGCGTCGACTTCCTGCGAGACGTCCTTCGCCCAGAGCCCCGGCGTGCACTATACAGATGTGTACCATAAACCAACGAAGGTCATGTTCAGGGGAATGGCATGCTCTCTCCTTTAGCGAGTCTTCCATTCATCGCAGGTGTCGAAAATGGCAGCGGCCCGACAGAACGTTACCTACCCGCAAGATGCAACTCGAGAAAGATCCCGCGCGAAGCTGTTGGCGTTTCCTCCGATATGTCCGTTGCTCATGCTCGCGCCACAGTCTAGCTATATATCGGCCAACTTCCTGGGGATTTAACCTGAGTGCTTGCCTCTTCGTTTGTGCGCATCTACTCGACCATTCGTACTTGGCCTGGCTCCTATGGCGTCTCTGCCGCAGATACTCAGGATCCCCTCGCTCGATAGCACCATCGGCGCGGTGCTTCTCGGGGCGATCTTTGGCTCCATGTACGTTCAAATGCTCCGCAAATATTTTCGACGCACTGACTGACGTATCTCCGGAAAGGCTGTATGGACTGACAGTACACCAGACGTACAGATATTTCAAACTCTACCCGAAGGATAGACTATTTCTGAAATCGCTAGTATGCCTCTCTCCGTGTTCCTCTTTATACGGCTGTCGGGTCTAAGCGGGATCTGTCAGGTACTTACAATCCTGTGCGTGCTCTCCCTCATGCGAAACCGGCGTGTTGGCACCCATCTGTCTGGGTGCCAGTATCTTCGAGACGCTACATACAGCGGTGTGGATTATCGTCATGTGAGCCAAGGATAAATTGCTGATGTCGTGCATCGTAAACTGATATTAGGCTCCTTGCAGCTACCGGTATGCTATCACGGACGCCTTCAACCTGGTCAACATCCTTCGTAGCCACTGGTAAGATCCTTTCAGTAGTTGACTGGGATCCTGCCTCAGTCCCCTGCTCACTACACTATAGGTCCATACCGGTGCGTCGTGGCTCGTTTGACAGCTCACTTCCGAAGCGTCCTAATAGCTTCTCTGTTATACAGCTCACTTTCCTGATAACTGTAAGCGAACACTCTCTATCTCGGACGTAATTGAGTTGAAATCGCTGTAGGGCCTTGCCGTCTTTGCATGTCAAACGTAGGCATATGCTACTCAGCGCCTGCGTTATCCTAGCATTTACCTGTGCATCTGTGCATCTCACACGCGCGTAGTTTTTACGTGTATCGTGTATTCCGCCGTGCGTTCTCTCTTCCTAAGTTCTATCACCATCTAACAATGTGGCACAGTGGATCCTCGCCATCGGTGGCTTGTTATCGGGCCGGCGGTAAGTAGCGTCGGTCCTGGGCCTCTTTGATTGGCCGTGCGCATGACAAGATCTATCACGCAGGTCATAGCGATGTTTGGCGGACTAGGTACGCCACTGCACGTTGTCCTACGATACGACACTGACACGATGCTTGCCAATCAGGTTTTGCACTTGGTGAGGGGCTCCCGGTGAGACTTCGAGAAGATAATTCTCACTTGAGATCTGTTTTAGCTGCAGGGATCGAAGTGTGCGTCTGCGGTTGTGTGGTGTGCATACATCCAGCTGAATTATTCGTGTACAGCTTCTTGGCTGCGCCTTTCATCGTCGATCTTCAGAAATTCAGCGTAAGTGCCCCGCCCTTGCGCTCGAGGATGATACTGATGTGCGCATATCTGCTAGTGGCTTGTGTCTTCAGCATACGGATTCGATGTTGTGACGGACGTCATCTTAACAAGCACGCTCGTAGTCGCTCTCCATAAAATGCGTACTGGGTTCGAGCAGTGAGTCTGGAATGTTGAATCGCCCGAGATAGTGAACCAAAACCTGATTTAGGACAGACTCTGTTGTGGATACTCTGATTATGTATGCGATCAATACCGGTACGAAGCATATTATGTATGCTAGTGTCGGGGACAAGCTGACGTGCTCAGCCGCTGAACAGGTTTGCTGACAAGGTATGAGGCTCCGGCGGCGCGAAGGACATTCAAGCAGCGGTTTTGCTTACGTCGGAGCACTACAGCATCATCAGCATCATCGCTTTTATCTTCGTGCGTCCAGACTTACCTTGCTGCTATTCTGAATGCACGCTGAATACGGAAGCTATAGGCCATTGTGATCCCAGGAAATCTGATCTATGCCGCTGTCAGCATTGTAGGCTCTAAATGTACGTTGACCCGGAGGTAGAGAACATTCTCAGGGATACTCACCTGAACTGCAGTGTACGCCAACTCCGTGCTAGCTGCGTACGTGGCCGTCCCCCTCCAGTCTTCATACCCTCATGGCCTTTGTTAGCCTGAACTCCCGACAATCGGTCGGTAACCGGCTCCAGGAGGATAACACCATTGTCTTCAATCGCGAGGCTTTTTCGACCAGCGTACTCTCCACGCGGCCGCTGCATAGGATGGATCCCGACTCTGTGGTGTACAGCCTTCGCGAGGTGCGTGATCCAGCACCTTCTTTAAGACCCTGACGCCTCATTAAACTCTTGACCTTCCAAGCTATATCCGTGCTCGCCCAAAACGTCAACCACACCGGCTCAGGGAATGAATTTTGTGTCGGCAGGTGAAGGCGAGGTCGGGATCGGAATTTGAATGAGATGGCGTGTCGACGGGACAGAGTTCAGAGCGACATGAGCGGGACTGCGGACTCCCAACTTCTGTGCTGTGTCCTTTCCCTCAGAATTGTGCCATTGTCTATATGATGACCCACGAGCCCTAACCATGTACTGTCGATGAACTCGCGGACTCAACCAACCTCAGCTACAGCAAGACTTCGCGGCTCGGCCCGTTCACGCAGGCCGTTTTGGCGAGTGATGTCCCTCAGGCCCCCGACAGTTTCTCATTGACGGGGTTCCGCGGATTCTGGCGGTGCCGCAGCCTTCAGTGGACTCGTATCCAACGATGTCGCGCCAGATGCACGCGGAGGAGCACCATGAGAAGCTAATGCAAGAAGAGTAGAATAGCTTTTCTGTTGGGTAAAAGAAGGGCTTCGGAATCTTGCTCAATATATTATATGCGAGAATCAGAGATCATCGTGGCCTGTTGGGCGGCATTGTAAGGAGTTAAAACAATGACTTGGACATGCGATGGCGGTCGAGATCTGCATCGGGAAGGCGATAGCTTTGAATCCTAACATGAACAAGCAACTAAATACGGTACACGGTAAACGCTCATGCCACCGCAACTTTCCATGTCCCGCCACTGCCACGCTTCCTCTCACTGCCTTCACGACCCAGTGACATCCGAATGGATCGTTGGGCACCCTTGCCTATCTCATGTGCTTACGCTTGACGACTCATATGCACCTCTCGCTCGCCAACGCACGCTACTAATCATCTGTCTACTCACTGCGCTTGACTCCTGCGGTACCGTCCTGAGCCTGACCTCTTCCCTTCTGGAAGACAAAATGCTGTAATCGAAGGTTAGTAATCATTTTCCGCAAATTCTCAGGTGCACGCGATGGTTGAACCTAACATTATAATAGCTAGGTTTCGGGGTACGTAGCCCGAACGTAGCGCAATCACTTCGAACGCGTTCTGCCAAGCAGAACCACACTAAATATGTACTCGTTCGACTTTCAATCGCTCTTTGGGCCCGTTCATGGGGGCACAGACCTTTTGCCTTTTGGTTCGGTCATCTGCGAGACGCTGCTCATCTCGATGTTCGTGTGCCATGTGCGCACGTCGACGAAGCTCCCCGGTGTACGTATGGCTGTTTCTGTACACAGACTCCGCTCAAACGATACGGTTCTAAACCATATGGACACAGGGGCCGGGGTACTAGGGTTGCGGTTACTATGAGCTTCTAATGCGGCCTCCGGGATAGCAATGATCGGTTCGGGTTCAGAAAGCTGCGCACGCGGAGAGCCCGAAGCGATATCTGACATGCGGAACTCAGATCCTCAACCACAATTCCCGGATCAAACCCACACTCGGTGCGTCCCCGGCTTACGAATATTGTCTGTACCTGTCCCGGTGTTACACACACTCCCTGGTCCGGCTCTCTGTAAGTTATTCTTACCGCTGTTCGCCCGTTATCTCCGCGCACTAAGGAAGCTTTTCCGTACTCGTCTACTTCTGTGAACAGATCCTCTCACAAAGTGGTTTCTAAGAGCGGGCACGTGGGGCCTTTTGCACTACAGTATGTGCACGGGATAGCACCACTCAGGATGTGCTTAAGGTGAAGGCTGTGCGCACGGGAAGCCAGAGTTACTTCAACGTGCGCAAAGCAGATCCTCGCGAGTAGAGCCTGCAAAACGTCACCGCCATCCTCCGTGTTCCATGTGCTCACGCCTCACATGTAACCCGCTGCTGTGGTTGTTCCGCGGCACATCGCCAAACACGTAGATGGACCTGTTCCATTTGCGGACGCGCAGGACATATACCCTGGGAACCGCCCTTCACCGCCCTGAGGCCAGTGCGCGCTTTCAAGACGAGCATCATGAACCAGCCAACCTTACTTCCGGGCGAGCGAGCGGGCCTCCTCGCCTAATCGAGCATCTTCCATTCCTGTGAGTGTTCAAAATGGAACTGGACCGTCGTAGCGTTCCTGACCCACGAGATGCATATTAAGAAGTATCCCGTTCGAAGCCGTCGATGCATGATCCTCGGTGTCTGCTGCTCGTGCTCACACCACACTGCAACTATATGTATCGTGCAATCGCGCAAGAACCTAAGTGACAACTTGCCTTTTCATTTGCGCTCCGCCGTCGTTCGTCTTTCACCAGCCCTCAATGGCGTCGCTGCCTCAAATTCTAAAGGTGCCCTCGCTTGATAGCAGTCTTGGCGCAGTTCTCCTTGGAGTGATCATCGGATCCATGTACGTTCCAATCCCCGACACTACTTCTGATGCACCGACTAACATGTCGCCGGAAAGGTTGTATGGGTTGACGGTTCATCAGACGTATAGATACTTCAAGCTCTCCCCCAGGGATAGGCCTATCTTGAAGTTCCTAGTACGCCTATCCCGGGTTTCTTTCTCTAAACGAGGATGACTCTAACAGGATCTGTCAGGTGCTGACAATTCTGTGCGTACTATCTTACGCATCGTTCTGCATGAATCTCATGGCGCGCTAGAGTATTCGAGACACTGCATACCGCAGTATGGATCATTGTCATGTAAGTCATCTGTAAGCCGTCGCAGCTACATCTCGAGCACTGATAGTCACCTCTTTGCCGTAGCTACCACTATGCCATCACGGACGCTTTCCATTTGTCCGACATCCTTCGCGGTCATTGGTAAGTATCTTCAGCAGTCAGCTAAAACGCTACCTCACAGTCAAATTGCCGCCACAGGTCTATACGGGTACGTCGCGGCTGGCTTCCTATTCGGGCCCTAAAAGTGTTCTGACCGTTTCTACATGTCACAGTTGACTTTCCCGATAACCGTAAGTGCACGCTCTCTGTCAGAGCTGAAGTTCTGAAACTGAACATGATGCAGGGCCTCGCCGTCTTCGTATGCCAGAGGTAACCATATGCCACTGCTCAGCCTCGGCGTCATCCCGGTTCTTACGCATCCATCTTCCCGTCTCGTGTGCCGCGGTTTAGCTTCTATGTGAGCCGTGTATTCCTCGGTGCGTATTCTTTTCACCATTGCAGTCATCCTCTAACAATCTGGTACAGCCGGTCCTGGTTATCGTTGGCTCGTTGTCCCTGCAGTAAGTGACGTCCCGCCTTCTCATACGCCATGCACGTTACAGAGTTAGGTACAGGCCATATCAATGCTTGTAGGAATAGGTATGTCATCATATGTCGGTCTCTTGTAGGATGGTAACATAGGACTCGATAATCAGGCTTTGCAATCGGTAAGGGTCCCGCGGTAATACATTAAGATTTGATTTCTCATGTCAGATTCACTACAGCTGCGGGAACTGAAGCGTGGGTCCTCTGCTTTGTAGCACATTGCTCCTTTTCGAACTAATCTAATTATTCACAGATTCCTGGCTACGCCTTTTATCGTTGACCTGCAGCATATCAGCGTGGGTACTCGGTCGCCGCGCTCGCTGAGAGTCGAGACCAAGTCTAATGCAGGCCATCCTCACTAGTGGCTGGTATCTATTGCCTACGGCTTTGCGGTGGCCACGGACATCATCCTTACAAGCGCGCTCATATTCGTTCTCTACAAGTGGAAGTCTGATTCAAAAAGGTGAGTTTCCAGTGATGTTTACGTTTGCGGCCCTAGATACCGAGCCTCAATCTGCTCTAGAGGGAACTCCACTGTTGATACTGTGATTTTGTACACGATCAATACTGGTACGTGGTCCAACCGCATTGCAATCATAGTTTGGCTCATGAGCTTGGTCGCTGAACAGGTTTGCTAACGAGGTATGCGGACCACCTTTCTCGAAGAACCTGTACGATGCGCCGCTAATACGAGACACTACAGCATCATCAGCACGGCTGCTTTCATTTTCGTGAGATCACACCTAACCTGTTCGTCACTCTGGGTCCGCGCTGAATTTGCAAACCGTAGGCCATCGTCATCCCGGGCAACCTGATCTATGCCGCCGTCAGCATCGTGGGTACCAAACGTGCGTCGATGCGCAGAGAGCATTTCCGGGGATCATGCCTGACTTTTTACATAGTTTACGCGAACTCGATTCTGGCTGCGTACGTCACCTTCCCCCTTCCCCGTTTTTGTGTTCTCATGACCTGCGTCAGCCTGAACTCCCGGCACTCAATCGGTGGCCGGCTCATCAATGACTCCTCGCCCCTCAGTCTTGGGGCCAATGCGAACGGTGCACCCTCTGCGCATCCGCAACAGGCTCATGTGATTGAGCTCGAGTCTATGGTGTACAACGTCCCTGAGGTGCGTGATCTGGGGGCTAGGTTATGAAATCCCTCTGACCTGATTTCTGGCCTACGTAGCAATATCTGGGCGGACGGTCGGAGACGTCGACTCTACGTACACAGGACTTGATCACGCCGTCAGCATTTGAAGGAAAGTAGGGATAGGCTCGGAGGTGATAGTACGTGCTCGTTGAGGGCTTCGGAAGGGTCGCAGCGGCTTGCCAGTGATTCAGCAGTCTGTACCGATGCTTCAGACACCTGCGGTGTGTCCGTGTCTGGTATAAACTCATATTTCAAAGCGATGGACTGTTTATCTGGTGAACCCGTTAGATGCGTCTGCCAGAATTCGTACGAATAAGAGCTCTCGCGCTGGTTGACAGGGACTCGAAGGCGACCAAGATCTGCGTCGGGAAGTCGTTAGCTTCCGATCCTAACATGCACAAACACGCAGATACGGGGCATAGTAAGCGCTCGTGGCCTGGCGTCACGTACGCTCATTACCGCCATCCCGCCGCGTGAAAACACAGTGTTGATTTGGAAGGTAAGCGACTCATACAAGTCTGTTCAGTCGAAGGACTTAACTGGAGCTGATATCTCAGAAGCGAGTGTTTTTTTCGGCCGCCCTCGCATATGCGGGTGGCTTCCCTCAGGTATGGAGCTCGGGCGGCTGTTCATACACGCATCCTCACCCTATATTCCAGGTCGAGGCGTAGTGTCGCGTGCAGTCCTGCTTCTAGTTGGGAATGTGCCCCCATTTGAACTCGATGTCGCGTCTGTCTGATGCGATCGGCCACACCCAGATTGGTGTCCAGCCGCGCACGTCTGTGACACTTCCGTCCGAGCTGGCCTCGTGGACCCTTCCCTTACATCCACCTCGATTTCTGGAGCCATCGTCGCAAAACCCCAGTACCCAAGCATTGCATACCTCGATCAGGTTAACTAGGCCAGTCCGTCGGATGCCTTCGCGTCGTTCTCTTAGTATGCCAGCATGAACATGTATGCCTCCCAGGAGACATCCTCCGCACTTACCTCTGATTTCCCTGAACTGTGCGCGTACTCGCAGGACCGGGGAAAACAAAATCCAACTCCGCTTTCTGGTGCGGCGGCGGTGATTATCTCGCCTTCTTCGATGCCCGCGCTGATGCAGTCCTCGCGTAGAACTACCCCCGAGAAGCTCGAGGAGGAAAACCGCTGCCTCCAGCATTGCATCTGCCAACTTGAGATCGTCAGCGAGTCGTCCCGCATGAGGATCTAGGAGCTCAAAGCGGAATATCGCATGGCGTATACGCCGGCGGGCTCCCAACCCTATATCCCATGCCGTAGCCACAATACAGGCGTTCGACGAGGATTGGGATGAGCGCACCGAAGCGCGTGTTCGGACGTTCTGCTCTCCGAACCGCGCGGGCAACGCCTTGTGCGTGTGGCATGAGTCGCGCAGGGAGCGCCGCAGGTACCCGCCCCGCATGGCGCCCCCCGGATACCTTAACTGCGGGTGCACATTCGAGCAGGCATTGTTCGAGGAGAGCCTCCGAGTCTCGCGCCACGGCGTGGGTAGTTACCACCCTGGGGAGAGCATCCGCATGGACCCCGAGCTCAGGAACCCGCTGCTGCACCGTGCTCCTGCAGACGCGCTACGGGTACCGCGACGGCGACTTCGAGCGCGACCCGCGCACGGGCAACTGGCTCGAGGACGAGGGTGCCGAAAAGTGGGAGCAGAAGGCCGCGTCCGGAGGGGTGTACTAGACACGGAGACGTGCCTGCACAAATTCAGTAGGCCCTCATTCTGTCAATCAAACCGGGCACGACACTGGCGCTGAATAGCATGGACGCGCGCCGCTGTAGGGCCTGCACCATTTCCCGGGATTTGGTTTCGTCGTTATCCAACTGTAATGTAGTCCCGCTGGCGTAGCGCCCTCGCACCTATCCCCAAGCGTATTTGAGCAGACAAGGCTCACAAACATCACTTGAGCCCAGGAGCAAGTTCCGTGGTGGCTGTCGGATAACTTGTAGCGTTGCGCGTGTACCCGTGAGGGCTGCGCCTGCGGGGAGCCGGAGGCAGTAGCTCATGTGTAGAACTTTGATCATTGCTGTGCGGCCCACTACTGCTGCCAACCGTCACACGCGCGGCCATATCCGAATATGAGTCCCCTACTGGTACGCGGTATCTCTATCTTCTCGTGCGAGACTCGCTGCCATGTTCGTCCTTCAATACAGCGCTGACAGTTCGCGGTTGCGGACGGCGGTCGTTTCTGCGTAATGATGCCGCGTAGTGCAGGCAAGTTTTCCTGCATCCTCTATGGTCCCAATGTTTGATGTTTACTGAAGGCACGACTGTCTTCTGCAGAACTAGAGTGCTGGTTAACGAGCCTAGATGTTTACTACGCATATGTGCATCCTAGCATATCCACAATATCCTTCGGGTGCTCGCGGCTGCACCTTATGTCTCCTTTCTTTCGGTACGTTGCACATGACAGTTTCTAACATAGCATCTCTCATCGCTCACTTGCCGCAAGATACGGCGTCGCCAGTACGCTTTCAAGTTGGTGGCGTATCATCTGTGGTAATAGTCGCTACGCAGTTCTGCACTTACACCACGGCTATATATCGTCTACTACCTGACTGAGTATCCAAATTTCCCGCTTCATCTACCTCATCTGCGAGCAGTCGCTTCATCATCGACCTTCTACCAAGATCTGATGTCATCTATACTTCAGATCCTCGGAATTTGGACTCCATCGCTCAATAACAGCCTCGGCGCTGTGCTCCTCGGCGTAATCCTAGGCTCCATGTACGTCGAAGTTCCCCGTCTGAATATTCATTTTGGCGGATTACTAATTCATGTTTGACGGTAACTCGTTTAAGGCTGTATGGCTTGACTGTACATCAGACATGCAGATACTTCAAGCTCTACCCGAAGGATCCGTGGTATTTGAAGTCACTTGTACGTCGCTTTCTGGAGTCTGGCATCAAACCCATGCTAAGCTTACAGGAATGCGCCAGATACTCACAATCCTGTACGTGCTCACTCCGCAGAGGGCCTGTAAATGATTGCTCATTTTGCCGCACTCTAGTGTATTCGAGACGCTACACACCGTAGCGTGGATCATTGTCATGCGAGTCAAGGACACTCTGTCGATGTGGCAGGTCCAGAAAGTACTGATTGTAGCCCCCTCGCGATAGATACCATTATTCTATCACAGAGGCGTTCAACTTCATCGACATCTTTCGCGGACATTGGTGCGCTTCCCCTCAGATTCAAGACAGGCACCGTCTTATACTCATTTTGCTATGCTAGGTCTGTGCAGGTACATCACAACTTAGTTCGCATCAACATCTCAGATATCATGATCTCACGGCTGAGTCTTGCTAGTTCTCCTTCCTCATAACTGTAAGCAGAGTACGTCTCCGCGGCGGGATGTCACTCAGCCGAAGGTGCTGCAGGGTCTGGCCGTCTTCGTTTGTCAAAGGTAAGCGCAACGTAGTTTCCTCCATTCCTTGCTCGTCCTCACATTTTAATTTGCATGTAGTTTCTATGCGCGCCGGGTATTCCTCCGTGCGTATATACACCTCGCGCGGCCTGGTTACCCTTCTAATGGCTAAATATAGTCGGCCCTCGCTATCGTTGGCTTGTCATACCTGCTGTAAGTGGGATTAACCCTTCGAGTTGTTGTTACCGTATATGACAAGGATCTGCACTGTGCGTGGTAACAGGTTGTGTCGATGTTGGAATCGTTGGGTAAGTCACTAGGTGTTGAAAATGCAGGCAGAATTAACATTATTCTTCTTACTCAGGCTTCGCAGCCGGTAAGAGGCTTTCTGCAGCTTCTATGCGCATTGCTCATGTGAAGGGTGGTTGTCATAGCTGCTGGAATCGAAGCGTACGTCTATCTCGACGTGTCCTGCCATATTTGGCGAGCTAATTGAATCTGCCTCAGCTTCATAACTGCCGCGAACCTTTCCGGCCTGCAACATATCAGTGTGAGTCGCTTTCCGCTGCATATATCAAGATTTGGTCTCATGCTCTCATCTATACTAGTGGCTCGTCTCTATAGCATATGGGCTGGCAGCGGGAACCGACATCATCCTGACAAGCTTGCTCGTTTTTGTACTTCACGCGTCTCGTACTGGCTCTAAGAGGTACGTTTTGGGAGCCTGGGAGACAGGTATACTGGCTTCGTTACATCAGACACTGAGCCTCGTTTGTCTAGGACGGATTCCATCCTCAATACGCTGATAATATACACGATCAATACCGGTACGCCAGTATAATCCGCCGCATGCGTTGAACTGACCAAACCTCGCTACACACTCACAGGCCTGCTAACAAGGTATGAGATCATTCCGGCGGGCGGGACTCGTAGGTCGTTGAGGCTGCTTACATGAAACACCCCAGCATTGTCAGCATAGTTGCCTTCGTATTCGTTCGTGTTTATTCCTCGCACACGTCGATCTTTCACTGAAGGGGCTTATAATACTAGGCTCTCGTCATGCCGGAGAACCTGATATATGCGGCTGTTAGTATAGTGGGCGCCAAATGTGCGTTGCACGTCGAGCGACGACCATATCGGAGACGCTGACCTGACTCACAGTATACGCTAACTCCGTGTTAGCTGTGTACGATTTCTTCCTCATTTTGAGATCTAAGTCGCATACTCACCACCACGACTTGCACTAGACTCAACTCGCGACGCTCAATCGACGATCGGTTCCTGGATGACTTCTCATCCTTCAGCCTTGCGTCCTTGGACAACGCGCCCTCAGGGCAGCAACCTCAGCCGGTAGAAGGAGACATTGAATCTGTCACGCACGCTGTTCCTGCGGTACGTGATTTCTCGTCTGTCCGAAGTAATGGGCCCCTGGCAACTAAACGACTTACCTAGGTATACCCGAAACCGTCGGCCGTACGCACTCAAAGCCTCATATTTGCATCTGTAAGCGAAAGCGAGGCAGGGGCCAGAATGTGAACGACAGTGTGCGTCAACGGGGCGTAGCTTGTCGGAGTAGCATAAGTATTATACGTGGTCAGTGAACCCGTACCGGGCCAGAGGTCTGCGATGTGTCTTGTCCTTCAGCATTGCAAAGCAGCCGATTTGCTGGTCGACGAGTCTGGATATTTATGTATCAATTTCTCCTACTGATTTCCGATGATGAGTGCACGAATTCGACGTTACCTGGTGCCATAGTCAGTGGTCGGACTTCTCGCCGACGCCTGGCTTGAGATTCGCATCGGGAAGGCGATAGCGTCCGATCCTAACAGGTACAAATACCCAAATGCAGGGTACAGATAGACGCTCAACGCTCGCCGTCTCCAGGCGTCTTGACTCCGGCCGCTCCGCTCCCTAAGGTACCTGCCACGTCGCCTCCGCCAGAAAATACAGTGCTATACTTGAAAGTAAGCGACTCGTGCTAGACCCCTCAGGTACACGCGTTAATTGAACCTAATACCTCAGGAATGGACGCAATCACTGCCGGAGGGGGACAGGCATGGAAGATCGCGCTAAGAACAAAACCTAATACATCCTCGACTTACGATCAACACGTAGACGTGATGCAGATGCTCTACATACTTCCTGCCCGTGATCTGCAACTATCTGCTCCATCTGATGTCTATACGCTATCGGGGTAGCCCGCACGCCAACGAAGCTCTCCCCGCAAGCCCGACCTGGTCTGCTCTCACGATGTGGTCCCGAAGCGTATACGCGTAGAAGAAGGGCTACTTAGGTTACAGACGTCGTGATCTTTTGCCGCAGCTCTCGGGATAGTAGCTATAGGTACGTGATCGGGAAGGCTGCGCACACGGGGAGCCGGAGGCTATAGCTGACGTGTGGAACTCAGACCTTCATGCACCGCTCCAGAATCCAAGCCCTTCACATTGCCTTCACCCTCGTACGCCCAACCCGTTGTTGTACTCATCATGAGATACAACACCTGCGCTTTCAGCTCACCGTCGAACCCCTTCAATCCGCGAGTGCGTACTAATAGCGTGAATACGTTATAGAGTATTTTGGGGCCGGCGGATACGCATTTCCGTTCAGAGTGTCTTCCATTCCTCGCGGGCAGCGGCGCCGGACTCGGAGCACAGCGTTACTCGCCCACAAGATGCAGCGGGAGCAGTATCTTGCTCGAAGCTGTCGACGTGTCATCCAGTGCGTCCATGCCGCACGCTCATCCCACATTGTAGCTATATCTCACTCGAGGATCCAACTGAGAAGCTTAATTCTTCATCCAGACGCATCTGCTCGCTCACTCGACCTTGACAAGCTTCAATGGTGTCTCTGCCTCAAATTTTGGGGATTCCCCCGCTGGACGGCAATCTAGGCGCGGTGCTCCTTGGAGTAATCCTAGGTTCTATGTATGTTCCGCCGCCCCGCACTGCTGTCGGCATGCTAAACACCGTGACCATGTCGCCGGAAAGGCTCTATGGCCTCACCGTACATCAGACGTATAGGTACTTCAAGCTTTACCCTGAGGACCGGATATTCTTGAAATCTCTAGTACGTCTTTCCCCGGTTCCTGATCACCGGACACTCAGCCTGAATCCACATTGTCAGGTGCTGATAATCCTGTATGCACTGTTCCCGCACCGTTCCCCCACGTAGGTGTTGACATTTTGGTCTATCAGCGTCTTCGAGACGGTCCATACGGCGGTGTGGATGATCGTTATGTGAGGCAAAGACAGTTTTGATAATGTGGATTGGGCTCTGACAGTAATCGCCTATTGTAGCTATCATTTCGCTATCACCTGCGCCTTCGACCCGATCAAGATCGCCCAAGGTCACTGGTGAGATTGTTCGATTAGTCTTGAAAGATACTAGCTCACATCCGAGGCACGAAACTAGGTCTGTACGCGTGCGTGGAATTTCGTTTCACATACTCGGGCTTCGAGACAGCTTAACAGCCTCGCGACTTGCTAGATGACTTTCCTGATAACTGTGAGCGCGTATTTTGCTTCGAAAGCGTGCACTACTGAATGGGAGGGCTACTGTTGTCAGGGAATAGTGGTCTTGATTTGTCAAAGGTCATTTGATATGTCTTGTCTTCACGAGGAAATCCGCCTTTACTAACCGGTGCATGTAGTTTCTACGCACGGCGTGTTTTCCTCCGTACGCACTCCCTTTCCGCTGGTGGATAAGATCTGATCGTCAATCTCAGTCGGCTCTCAATATTGGTGGCTTGCTATACCTGCGGTAAGCGCCATCGACATCTCAAGTTGGAATCGGAGTATTGAACTCAATCTGCTATACAGATCGTGACGATGCTGGTAGGATTCGGTACGCCACACCGCGCTGACGTCGCATGCATTGCTAACACGCCCCTCCTTACTCAGGTTTCGGAGTTGGTGAGAACCTGAAAGCTCGCTCCGGTGTCCTACGACCATTTCTTACTCGAAATCTGTTTCGATGTAGCTGCAGGGATTGTAGAGTAAGCCCACTTCTTTGCCATTAGCCATCCACGTCGCACTTATCCAGGTGTTTTCAGCTTCGTATCTGGCCCTCTACTCGCGGACTTGCGGAATATCAGCGTACGTGTCCTGCCGCTGTGCTCCAGGCCGAGTCAGAAGTAATTTCTGTCCCTTAGTGGCTTGTATCCATAGCATATGGGTTTGCCGTGGTGACAGATGTTATCCTGACAGGCGCGCTTGTCTTTGTTTTGCAAAAGTCCCGGATCAATAGTTCAAAGAGGTGAGGGTGGGGCACCGAAACCGTCACCTCAAGGCTAGATCTGAGCCTACTCTAGGATGGGCCCCGTGGTGGATATCCTGATTGTGTATACGGTCAACACTGGTATGAAAAGGAGGCGTCGTACGGGAGCTGAACTGACAAGCTTACTTGTTGTACAGGTTTACTGACGAGGTATGAGATACCAGCTGCATAAAGTGGCACGCAAAGTATGGCGTCGCTAACATGAAACATCTCAGCATTGTCAGTGTCATTGCTTTCATCTTCGTGAGTGCATGCCTAACTCGCTATCTTATGTGTCCGTGTACTCACTACGCGGATTATAGGCCCTCATCATCTCGGGAAATCTGATCTATGCCGCCGTGAGCATCGTAGGCGCCAAGTGTACGTCGATTCGACGAACGACCGTCTGTTTTGGGGCGCTCACCTGCTTTGTAGTGTACGCAAACTCAGTGCTAGCTCTGTACGACGACTTTTTTCTCTCCGAATTCTCGCATCCTCACGGCCTTCCTTAGCCTGAACTCCAGACGCTCGATCGACGACCGGTTTCTGGTAGATGACTTCTCGATCATGGGAGGCCGTGCAGCAGGTTCACCCTCCGAGCGACCGCCGCTCAGAAGTGGAGGGGACTGTGAGTCTATGGTGTTCAACACTCCTCAGGTGCGAGATGTGGCGGTATCGCGAACTCCCTGATATCTTATGTTCGAAATATCTAGCCGTACTCGTTCGCATCGGAGACGTCGACTATGCAGAACCAAGACCTAACATTTGTGCCAGGAAGTGAACACGTGACCAGGATTGGGATGTGAAAGCACCTGCGCGTAACGGCGTTCCAAGAGTCGATGGAGAGATATTCACAGCCGCATGACAGTAAGGCTAGACTAGTGCTTCAGATACCTACATCTTGTCATTACCTGGATATTATGCAGTTTTTGATGTGATGGACGGTTGAACTAGATTATGTATCAGCTATTCGCGTTCACTGGCACAGTGTATGAAGCAGTAAACATAGCGGTAGTGGCCCGACGCTCGAGATCGGAATCGGGAAGGCAATAGCTTCCGATCCTAACAGCAACAAACAGCCAAATGCGGGGCGTGGTAAACGCTCAAGCGCTCATGCCGCCACGTCCTGCCGCTCCGCCTCCTCTCACTCTCTTCGTCCTGCAGTGAGAATTGGAATCGCTGGACAGCATTGCCTCTACCATGGAGCTACGCTTGACGACACCTAGGCATCTCGCTCGGCGGCGCACGACATCAGGCATCTGTCTACTTCTGCAGCGCCCTGAGGCTCGAAGAATGGAAGAGCTTAACCGAGAGGATCTGACCACCGCACCTCCCTCAGGCTCGGGAAATGAACGCCCCCATTCTCGTAACCGACTCGCGCTCCGAATACAAACCACAGGCGATGCTATCTAAGGGATTCCGCGCGTTCTCGATACTTGTTCTTCAGCTTCTCTCCGATCCGGTGATGATTGCCCGTGCTGTAAGGCGGACAGCCTGCGACCTGTACTGACAATCTGTATTAGAATCAAGCATGGAATCCCGCCGGAAATAGGGAAAGAAGCTCGCGATATAAAGGCCCCGAGGTTGCACGGGATCGGCGTTTGCGCCTATCCCCAGGTTATCTGGCGGCTGTGCGGGGCTTTATGTGCTCATGTAGCCTATCGCGGTACGTCTCCTCTCGGAGTATTGACGCACCGTCCTATGCGCTGCTTGACACGGCGTTACAGGTGTATTTCTGTATACTAGTAATCACATCGCATTCCCTGCGCTACGTCTACGTCGAGTCAGGTGTGGTTACGCTTCTCGGAACGCTCCGTTCATCAAGCCCGCGATTCCACCACGTCCGAGGCTGGGTCGTGTGCTCAACGCTTCTCGAGTCTCCCTTTCAAAATTCGCTCTAATATACGCCTCGCGAGCCTGAGGGGCAAGAGAAGATCCCGCCGAGCTGACCTTCGGGACCTCGCTGCCCTCCTACATTTTCCTCTCTCTCTCAGATTACGATGCTATCTCTTCCTGAGACTCTCGGCCTTCCGTCTTTTGACAGTACAATAGGCGCAGTCTTCCTCGGGTTGGTGGTGGGCATCATGTACGTGCACCCCTTCTCTCACCCTTCACGTTCACTGATGCAACCCGTGCAAGGCTTTACGGGTTAACGGTCTACCAAGCGTACAAATACTATACAGTGTACCCGCACGACAGGATCGGCCTCAAAGTCTTCGTGCGTATTACTCGGAGCCTCTTCTCCCGCTGTTGTCGAGGTTGCGTCCGCATGCGCTAACGAGGCCCCCCAGATTACGGTTATCCTGTGCGCATGACATGCCAATAGCTCTTATGATCGACTAACGCGACGATAAAGGGCGTTCGAAACGTTTCACAGCGCCCTATGGATTGTAGTCAGGTACGTCGCCCAACGGATTTTAGGGATACGCTCTCACCACGCCTATTCCTGTAGCTACCATTACCTCATCACTGAAGCTTTCAACGTCATTGGTTTGTTGGATGCCCACTGGTGAGCTGCGCTTTCAGTATCCGCATATAAGCTCGACGCTTACACTTCGCCGTGTTCTAGGTCCGTACGAGTAGGTGCCGAGATATTGTTTCTGGCAAAGTTTCTTACTGATTGCCTCGTTTTCCCAACGAAGTTGACCGTTTTGACAACGGTAAGCCTCATACACGGGGCGCGGATACCGAAACTGATTTTTTGATGTCCAGGGTTTCACCGTGTTCATATCTCAAACGTATGTCGCCGTAGTCGGGATGAACTGTCCGCGCGGGACTAATGGTCGGGGGCAACGATGCTTTACCTTTCTAGGTTCTATGCGCATCGCGTATACAATGGTATGTGTGTCCCCGGGCTCGCTAGAGGGGTTTGGCTGAGTCGAATCAGTTGGACCCCGTTACTATCGGTGGCTTGCAATCCCAGCGGTAGGCTCTTTTGTCACGATTCACATTCAGCAAGAATTCTCACGCCTACGCTCTAGGTCATATCCATGTGCACGGGCCTATGTGCGTGTTCCTTCTCCAACAGCGCCGGGACATGGCTGAGCATCGCACGGACAAACAGCATTCGCAATCGGTACGTGTCCGCATAAGTCCAATTTGAGCGCTATAAGGCTAACTGAGTACGCTTTCTAGCTGCTGGAGTCAAAGCGTACGTCAGTGTCGTGCGCGACGCGATACCCTTCTCAGCTCTTCATCAGGTACACAACCACCAAGTACATAACCGATTTCAAGCGAGTCAGTGTACGTACCACTCCAATCCTCACCGGCACGTCACCATCTGACATATATATACTCGAAGTGGCTCGTGTCCGTAGCGTACGGCTTTGCAGTCGCGAGCGACATCATCTTGACTGGAGCATTGGTGTTCGTGCTTCAGCGAAGTCGTACTGGATCGAAGCGGTGATTTCCATTATCGTGGCAGGAGACATTAGCCGCTAAGACATTGCGAACTAGGTCTAACACGATCCTCGACATCCTGATCAAGTATACAATCAACACCGGTATGTTCCGTGTGCACGAATGTTATCATAGCCAGTCATTCATTATCGGAACCCATCGTACACTTCAGGCCTCTTGACAAGGTATGCGATACGCAACAGCGCATCAACGAGATCTAATATCCAGACCAGCATTTTCAGCGTCCTTGTCTTCATATTCGTGGGTGTCCTTTCGCGTTCCGGGGCTCATACAACAGGCTTACCGCAATCCTTATGCTCAGGCGATTATCCTCCCGGGAAACCTAGTATATGCCGGCGTCAGCATCGTCGGAGCCAAACGTACGGCCAGTGTCTGCCACGCATCGTTAGCGTCACAATCTGACCTCTACTTCAGTCTATGCAAACTCAGTCCTCGCCGTGTAAGTCCGCCCTGCGATCTCAGACTGCCGCAACATCTGACCAGACGACGCCGGCAGGGTGAACTCTCGCAAGTCGATCGGAAACAAGTTCTTCGACGACTTCACGACCCAAGCCGTACCCGCGCAGAGCCGCAGGGACATCGAAGAGTCCATGGTTTGGAACGTGCGCCAGGTACGTCATCTTCGGGCTGCGGCGCATTGCTACGTGTGTCTTGACCTTCTTCCCTTCCCAGCCGACGATTACTGGCATGACGGAGTCGATCAGCACCAGCCAGGGCGTGAGCTTCGTTGCGAGCGGAGATACGGTTACCGAGAAGCCCGCGGAGCCGGATGAGAAGCGACGACCTAACTTTACGATGACTGTCTAGGACTCACATTTGACGACGAACTGGACGCAGACTCGACTCGGCCGACGTCTTTGTACGAATGTTCGGACATTTATATATCCCAGCGCTATGAGCCCACAATCATTCTGGCCTCGACTTCCTGCAGGTACTAGTTGCGTCGTGTCGCTCGAGGTACGGCCGCATGCGTATCTGTGGATTGCGGCGGCACTCACGATTCAGGAAGCGTAAGCGGGATGTGAAAGCGATCACTCCTTCAAGCTGGTTCTGGTCTCAATCTGTCTCGTATAGCGATCTGGCATGGGCGCCGCTGTCGACGGCGTATCAACCTTCCTATGCTTGATACGAAGTGGATCTTCTCTGTGATAGGACCCGTACCTCCGGACATCAAGCCTCGCACACTCTCTGACACCCGCCACCATCGTCGCTCGAGCGCACATCAAATGCCGATTCGTTCCCCGTGCCACATACCGGTAGCTGTTCCGCCGCGTCTCAATGTACTCCACGATCTGACGCTCTTTCAAAGTGTGGCATGCGCCACGACCGCATGAGCAAACGGCAGGAACGGACCACATCCGTATCCGTTACACTTTGTGAGGAAGAACTTGCCATCCCACGACACGATGCAATGATCAACAGGTGCTGGTCATCCAAGTCCTGAATGGAAACATACGGGGATTAGTAAAAGAAGCTTAAGGGTGGCGTGTATGTGCGACGGGGGAGCGGCGCTCTCGGTCATGTATCAAGACAACCTGTCGCCTGTGCCTTCGACTCGGAAGGTACGTCTCTCGTTGCTCGCATTTTCGCATGGTATCTGGCCTTTTTCGATGTCAGCGCGCATGCAATCATCACGTCGCATGCGCTGCGGCGGTCATTCTCGAAAGGATTCGTTCGAGGGCGCCTATGAAAGCCTCAGATTCAGCGGCGGCGCTTGGCAGTTTCGAAGCTTCGTAGCTGAGATCTCTGCCACCGCTCGCCATGTCTTAAAGACGACTGGAATCCCAGCACGAGGGATCTCAGAACTACAGTTTCTACTAACATAAGCCAGTCAATCCCAGGTATAAGACAAAACCCCGTCTCAGTGACCTTCAACGTCCCATCGCATTCCTTTCTTTCATCTCTCCCTCTTTCCGCAATGGCACCATCTCCATCTGATATACTAGGCCTGCCATCCTTTGACAGTACATTCGGCGCAGCCTTCCTCGGGTTGGTAGTGGGTAACATGTGAGTCTGCTCATTTCGAGTTTCTCGTCCTACTAGTACACGTTCATTAATACGGCATGTGTAAGGCTCTACGGATTGACCATATATCAAGCCTACAAATATTATACGGTCTACTCAAACGACAGGATTGGATTAAAAGTCTATGTGCGTTTCCCATAGAAATTCTCCCCCAACCACCGTCAAGGTCGTGCACGCGTGTGCTAACGAGGGTCTTTAGATCACAGTCCTACTGTGAGCCTAATACTGGAGCCGTTTGAGTGACGACTTAACACGAAGTCAAGGGTGCTTGAGACGCTTCATAGTGCCCTTTGGATTATAGTCGGGTGCGTCACGCAACGCGGATTTGGAGGCGCTGTTCTGACAGCGCCGCTATCCACAGCTACCATTACCTCATCACCGAAGTGTTCAACGTCATCGGCCTTTTGGACGCCCACTGGTGAGTCGCTCGAGCGTCTTCCAAACGGGATACTTAGGTGTTACTACCGCGGTATGTCTAGGTCTGTACGAGTAAGCGCAGAGACTTTGCATGCCGAGAAACTGCTTACTAACTTTGAGTCCTTTGAAGACAACCGTTTTGACAACGGTTTGAAGCTTTATGCACAATGCGCGGATCCTAAAGTTGACTTGTCTTGGCACAGGGAATCATGGTGTTCATGTCTCAGATGTACGTCTCTACCGTAACTCAGGCCACGCTGTCAGAGGAGAGCCCGCTACTGATTGTTTCACTTTGCAGCTTCTATGCTCACCGCGTATACCATGGTACGTGGGTCCCTCAACCGCCGGTGACGCTTCGTGACCAAAATCAGTCGGGCCGCGGAACTACAGATGGCTCGCAGTCCCGGTGGTACGTTCCTACAGTATATCGTGATTATATCATCTGGCAATAGGGCTCATGTTCGCGCTGTAGGGCGTGTTTATGTGCACTGGCCTATGTGCGTATTCGGATATAAGCAGCATCCTGACATCGCTCAGCATACTATCTATGGGCAGCATTTGGAATGGGTACGTGTTTGAATGCGGCTCAATGTGAGCGCCTTACATCCGGCTGAATACGCTCTCTAGCTGCTGGAATTCAGGTGTACGTCTGTGTCGCGCACTATACACATTACCACTCCTCACGTCGTGATCAGGTACACTGATGTTCGCTATGTCACCGACTTTGAACAATTCAGCGTAAGCACGCTCTCTGAACACTGCTGAGCTCTTCCCTATTCTTATATGATACTCTTTGAAGTGGCTCGTATCCGTGGCCTATGGATTCGCCGTTGGGAGCGACGTCATCCTGACCAGTGCTCTAGTACTCGTGCTTCAACGAAGTCGCACAGGGTCCAAAAGGTGAGTTCCACCACCCCGGTAGTGACATGGCGGATACTCGCTAAAGCTTCTCGAGTTAGATCTGATACCGTCCTGGGCATTCTCATCAAGTATACGATTAACACAGGTATTCGTTGCTTTCCGAGTAACCATGCTCCGCTCTCTCGCTAAATATGACGACTCGCCGCACCTTCCAGGGCTCTTGACAAGGTGTGCGGTGCGCAATGGTTCATCGAAAAGGACTCATTCCCCAATCAGCGTTGTCAGCATCTTTGCCTTCGTATTTGTGAGTTTTTTCTTCCGCGCTCAGCACCTCGTTGAACTCATCCTCACCTCTCCGTTCAGACCATCATTCTTCCTGGTAACCTGATCTACCCGGGCGTGAGCATCGTCGGAGCAAAACGTACGCCAGCTGTCTGATGTGCACGGCAAAGTGGAACATCATAAACTAACCACTGATCCAGTTTATGCTAATTCAGTCTTGGCTGTGTAAGTCTGCACTGCGACCTCTGGCTTCCGCCACACCTGACCCTGACAATTTGGGCAGGGTGAACTCCCGCAAGTCGATCGGGGACAAGTTCTTTGACGACTTCACAACCGAAGTCGGGCCCGGGCAGAGCCACTTCGACATTGAGTCCATGGTCTGGAACGTGCATCAGGTACGCCACGTACAGGCTGCGACGCGACATGCGCCCTGACTTTCCTTCCTTCCTTTTTCACGACTAGTCAACAACTGCTGGCACGATGGAGTCCATCAGCACAAATCAAGAAATGAGTGTGGTGGCGAATGCTAATGACATTGCAACAGAATACAAGCCGCGGCGGCCCAATCTCACGGTGACCGTCTAGGATTGAGAATAGGTGGTGAACGGGACGCAGACAGGATTCGGACGTCTTCGTACAATTGTTCAGACATCTATCTATGCTAATAATTGGAGATCATTCGTGTAGGCCGGTCTGCCTTTGCGTTGTGTCTACCATGGTACGTCTCAGGCTTACCTATGAATCGCCGAGTCGCTCAGTACTTATACTTCGGACCATGTATCTAGACAAGAAAATTACCCTTCAAACTAATCCCGCCAAATAACTTCTGGCAAGTTAACACGGGCGCCACTGTCGATGGTGTACCTCGTAATGACACGCAGACACGGACTTGTGCAAACCAGGAGACGTCGGGACTTGCGTTCCACGGGTGCTCGAGAGCAATCCAAGTACCGGACATACGCTCGGCGCCACATCCCGGCGCCTTTACCGCCGCATGTCGTTGTCGCTCGAATATCGGATGCTGCTTGGTATGGACGATCACGGCCGAGTGCTTGCTGCCGCTCGCGCCACGACTACAGCCCCTGACGTCTATCCTTATGGGCCACGTCGCTCTCTGATTTGCCCTGAATGCCACGCCGCGGCGGTGGTATGGTTGACAGTCAAGTACTGGTAATCATCAAATTCTAAAATGGAAGCACGCAGGAATGGAGAAGAGAAGCTTATCACCGTGTGCGAGCCTCGTGGATGCTCTAGAGAGGAGCAGCGCTTTTGGCCACTCCCTCCGAGGAGCTGTCACCCTGGCCTTCGAAGGTACGTCCCCTGTCCGCTACGTTCTTGGATCGCATCACGGCCTGTGTGATATTGGCAAACCGAATATCCATCCCTAGCATTCCCTGCAAGACACATGGACTGCGGCGCAGTGATTCTCGAGACGATCCGTTCGAGCCCGCCAGTCCAGTTACGCCAGCTCGGACAGACTTGGCCGTGTTCGAGGCTTCTCTAGCGGGGCTCTGCCAACGTGCGCCATGTCTTAAGTCCGACTCGGCAGGATGAGGAAGCTTCGAGTCTTAACCTCGCCTGTTTATCGTCAAGACTCACCGTGCGTTTCCCTGATCTGCGGCCTCCCCACGCGATGTCTCCTTCGCTTCCCTCTTTGCTTGGGCTACCGTCCTTCGACACTACCCTTGGTGCAGTGCTCCTTGGCTTGGTAGTGGGAATTATGTGCGTAATACGTCTCTTCTATCGCCCGAATCGCTCGTTGACTCGAACTATATTAGGCTTTACGGTATAACTGTTTATCAAGCGTACAAGTACTACACCGTGTACGCCGACGATGGGATTCGCTTGAAGCTTTACGTGCGCAGCGCTGCTCTAGCTACTGCCGATAAGGTGACTGACTGAAGTCTTCAGATTACCGTCGTCTTGTTTGTTTGATGTCGCGCCCTCGTGTATCGGGATAGCCTGACATGATGCGCAGGCTCTTCGAAACCTTTCATAGTGCCCTATGGACCATCGTGTGGTACGTTTCCGGACGCGAACCGAGGTACTATCTCTGACCATAACTGTGTACGCAGCTATCATTATCTTGTGACCGACGCATTCGACCTCCTCGGCCTCATATATGCCGAATGGTAAACCACGATCTCGAGTGCCATTAACTGATTACGACATTGATCAGATGTCGCATCGTATAGGTCATTAAAGCTGACAATTTTGATAACGGTGCGTATTGAGGGCCACACATAGATCATGAAACTGATGCGTGGATTGCAGGGGCTTACTGTCTTCATCTCTCAAGCGTACGTTACAGCGACCGAGCTTGGACAGTTTCACGGCTGATATTCCTTCACTTCCGTCCTCAGGTTCTACGCGCACCGCGTGTACTACCGTACGCATATCCCTATATTATCTAGTATCACTTTAGTAACAAGAAGCAGTTGGACACCGCTACTATCGATGGCTCGCGATCCCGGTGGTATGTTCTCTCACTATGCGCGATCAGGCAGCGGTACTCACGCTTACACACGGCAGGTAGTGTCAATGGTGACAAGCCTGGGTGCGCGTCTTTCTACTGCGGCGCCGGCGTGTCATTACTGAGCAGACGAGGGCCGTGCAGCGTTCGCGATAGGCACGTTTTCAATGGATCACCTCTCGTGCGACATGTTGCTTATAGCTCACGTTTATTAGCCGCTGGAATAGAGGCGTACGCCCACCATCAATCCCTTGCAGCGCCCTTCTCATCTTCGCACCGCCAACAGATACTTCCCTGCCCCGACTCAGTACTTCACTGACTTCAAGCCAACCAACGCACGTACCTTTTGACACTAGGTGCTCCGCTATCGTTGACATGCCTAATCCTTCCGAAGTGGTTGATTTCAATCGGATACGGGTTTGCCGTGGCGAGCGACATCATGCTCACCGGCGCACTGGTGTTCGTGCTCCATCGCAGCCGCACTGGTTTGAAGAGGTGAGCGAAATCTTGGCTATAGTAGAGGACCCCTCGCTGAGGCCTCCTGGCGCAGGTCTGACTCTATCCTCGACACCCTCATCAAGTACACTATCAATACGGGTATGCACCACTCCTGCCCTACTCCGTATTTTTACCAGCTCACGGTGCTGACCCCACCGCGCATTCCAGGGCTTTTGACGAGGTCCGTGGTGCGCAGCCATTGGTCTTGAACGCGAACTCATCTCCTTTGCAGCATCTTCAGCGTCCTCGCTTTCATCTTCGTGAGCTTTCCGTCAACGTGCTTAGGAGAGGATACACTTGACTCAGCACACCTTCCCTATCCAGGGGATTATCCTCCCCGGGAACCTCGTGTACGTCGGCGTGAGCATCGTCGGAACCAAATGTAGGTGAAGTTCCTCATCGGACGTGCTCGGCCGAAACCGCATGCTCATCATTTTCTCAGTGTATGCGAACTCGGTCCTCGCCGTGTACGCCTGTTTCTCTATCCCAGACGAGCACAGCAACTGACCCAGACGTCCTCGTAAGGGTGAACTCGCGCAAGTCTATTGGGAACAAGTTCCTGGATGACTTTACGACCCAAGACCAGGGCTCATCCTCGCAGAGCAGCGCCGACGTTGAGTCCATGGTCTGGAACGTACACCAGGTACGTCTCGTGCACGCGTAGACGCTTCAATACGTGACCCTGACATCCTGAATAGCCTACTACCGGGTGTGCGACAGAATCCATGAGCACAAATCGAAGCGCAAGCTTTGTAGCGAGCGCTGCCGAGGCGGAGAAGCCCGAGGGTCGAGAGGGGAGACAGCCGAACCTCACAGTGACTGTGTAAGACCTAGCAACGAACTAGAAGTTACGGTCTTTGTACCAATGATGGGTATTTGCATACACCTGGATACGAGCTGACTCTTGTCTTGGAACCAGTTTGTAATGATTGCGGTCGCCCCCGTAAGTTGATAGAGTTCAGTCTCATTTTTGCTTGTCGATGTTCACATATTCCTTCTTCCTGGTCGTCTGGGAACCGAGTATCTCGCATGCGTGCCTGTCGGCGGATTGTTAAGGCTGGCCCGGCGAGGAATGCCCCCTGTAAATATAAAGATGGAATGTTACATACAACACCAGTACCCATAATATAACTCCTCACGCCCACTAGTGCCCTTGTGGAACCTATCGCGCGCATCATAAATACACAGTCATTCTGGAAACCATGTCCAACGCCAGCATCATTCACTGTTCACAAAACTGAACCCACCACCCTCGGACTTCACTCCCCCAGGCCTGCCTCCAGCTCTTTGGGGCCCTGCGCCGGCTCATCGCAAGACCTGCCCCTGCCGGCAGCGAAGGTCATCCCTTCGAATCGATAGATACTGTCGTAGTCTGCGAGCGAGGTGGAGCGCTGTTGGGTCAAGTAGCACATTAGACGACTGGATCGCGGTTATTGAACTTGCGCAGCACCGCGGGGAGGTACCTGAGGCGCGTTCCAGACGAGCGAGGAGACGATTCCTTCGGGGCGCCGCGCACCGTCTTGGACTGAGGAGATTTCGGGAAGGTCGAAGGATGTGAAGTCGTCCATGAGGCGGTTGTTGATTTCGCGCCGCGAGTTGAGTCTGGTCTCAAACGGTCAGTCCACTTCGCATCCGGCGCGGCCACGGAGAGTCTCACACTGCGAGTACAGAGTTCGCGTACACTGCGCGAAATGTCAGTGTTCTGCACGAAAAACAGAGCACAGCATGCTTACGCTTCGTCCCGACGATGCTCAGCCCAGCATAGATCAAATTACCGGGCAGGATCAATGCCTGCAAGGACGCGTCGTAAGCGGGAGAGATTGTCGAATGGCAATGCAGCTGCTCACGAAGATGAAAGCCAGTATGCTGAAAACGCTAGAAATACTCGAGTCAGATAGGCTCACTACGCGGCGCCGCACCCCAATACCTCGTCAGGACGCCTGGAAAGTGGCACTTAGCATGTAGATGCCGCGCGTACCGTCCACGACGTACCAGTGTTAATGCTGTATATAATTAGTGTATCGAGAACGGAATCCGTTCTGCAGAGGGACCCTATTTCAGCATGAGTGTCTGAGTCTGATATTGAACGTACGCACCTCTTCGACCCAGTACGTGAGCGACGGAAAACGGCCACGAGCGTGCTGGCCAGAGTCACATCGGTGACCCCGGCGAGGCCGTACGACACGGACACCAGCCACTATGCAAGTCCCAGGTGTCATGGCATGCACGATCGGCAAGCGATCTCGTCAAACTCACGCTGATGCTCTGGAAGTCTGCGATACTAGGCGTAAACCTGAAACTAATAAGGCGCGATAAGCGTGATAGTTCGAATTGCGAGGTACGAATTCGACTTACGCAGACACACCGGCCGCTCCAGAAGAAGAAGTGTTAGTCGTGTGCTGGGCTCGGCCACGACGATTTGGCTCACCAATGGCAAATCCTATCTCGATAGTCAAGTGCCGTACTGCATAATTTTGAGAGCCATAACTGACCTTTGCTGACAACGAGAAGAACAAGCTGTGGTGTATGCGTTGAGTCACGCTGAAAAGATGGCGCATTGAACGTGCAACGTACCGCGGGTATTACAAGCCGCTTGTACTTAGGGCCAACTATGGAAGGTCAGTCAAAAACGGACGATGCACGACCGCCTGATGCGTACTGAAGTAAATGCGGGAAGCGTAGAAACTGCCAGTGAGAAGCCGCCAACGCGAGAAGACGAAGTCAGCGCCGGGTTGCGTGAGAGGCGAGAATGTGGGAGGCTCTATTACCATTGGGTTGTGCAAACGGTAAACGCCTACATCTGAATTCAACGAGGGATAGAAGAGATCGAGCGCGGAGGGACGTACAGTGCCGATGACGGCAAGCTGATCTCGGCGAATATGAGAACATCATGATTACCTGAATTGGTGAACGAGGGAAGATAGAGCGTACCCTCACGGACCTAGGTAGTGCAGTGAGCTTCGTGAATGCTCTTATATGCGTGCGGGTGGTAGCGCTCACCAGTGACCTTTTGCTAGACTTCCAGAATTAAACGGTTCGGCGATGAGATAGTGGTACCTGCATGGGATAAAGTATCAAGCACTATCTCTTAACTAGGGGCTTGCGCTGCGCCCAGGCTGACTCTGACCCAGCGATGATCCACAAAAGGCTATGGAAAGCTTCCAGGACGCTGGAAGCATATCAGACGTGTATGAAGAGATCCGTGGACAAAACTCACAAAATCAGGAAAACCTGTCGCCCAGGTGAGCACGAGGGTGCGGCTTAGATGTGTACTCGAACGCAACTCGCGCGAGAGAGCAGACACGCACGAAAAATTTAAGAAGTGTCCGATCATTAGGGTAGAGCCTGTAGTACCTGTATGTCTGGTGTACAGTTACTCCGTATAACCTATAACTGTGTCAGTGTCTATCTTACAGGCAACATTACCATACGTACATCATGCCGACAATCCCGCCCAATGCGACTGCGCCTAAAGTGGTGGCATACGGAGGCGATCCAAGAAGCGGGCCGGCGGTGGATGACATATGGACACAGTACTTGGCGGCGTGAGTCCGAAGTGAAACAACTTGGGCGTTGAGATGATGGATAGCGGCGCGAGCAAGGTGGCGAAGCGTAGGTAGAGCAGTCGACGATTCCCGACTTGGTATAGCGAGATCTCATATAGAAAAGCTTTTTCCCGGGGTGCTGCGCACTTAGCAGACACATCTCACAAAGAAGGGGGATGGGGGTTGCGGCCATGCTCGCAGTCTCGCATACCATCTGATGAATGGAAGGAGTTAATGTCCGGTGACAGTTGCTCGTTTACGATGGATACAGAACCTACTGACCGCGTCGGCTAGGAGTTCTCAGCGGTTCTAGTCGCGACGTTGATGTAGGGAAATGCGCCGAGGGCACTGTACGCCGGCCCAACTGACCACGTCAAAATTTCGAAGTACGGCGCATATGACGGTCTATGCGCAAGCTACCCGTGTTTCCCCCCTTCTTCCCAAGGTTGTCATTCTGACAAGGTACTGAATCACTTACGTGATCGTGGGTATGTCTATTAGCGACCTTAGCTCCGCAAGCATGCTCTTGAACGGCGAATGCTTCGACATGGGCTGCGCGAGCCTCTAGACAAGTTAGCGTAGCAGCGTAGGCTATGAGAAAGGTCTATTGATGAGTCAGGTGGCCTGCATATGTCGACGCGACTTGTGCTCTCGGTCTGGCGAGGTAGATTTTGTCGATGGCATGTTAGCACAGTGAACAAGAAATCGTTGCGCCACCGCAGTGGTTATCGCTTTATTTGCCCTTGTTAGGAACCGGGGCCGATGGCTTCCCGATCCAAATCTAGCATAGTATGTAAGCGCTCATGGCGTCCGCCGCGGCGCCGCCCTCGCAGTTTCTCCTTCTCGTTCACTCCCGCTCTGACACGTAAGATTTCTTGCCATAAAATCTTACTTTAAAATTTGCTTTTTTGCCTCACCGATACAAAGTGGGCGGATGTGGCCTCGATCACCTCTGTTGCTCACAGATCATAGGAATGTGAGTCCTTGGCGGCCTTACATGGCTGCTGTGTTTAACGATGACTGAGCCTGTCAAACACACAGTGCGGATGGGATTTCAAAGTCTACCGAAGCTCTACGTACCAGTATGTGGCTATCGTGGTCGAAAAGGACGCTCCCGGGGTGCTCTTGCTCGAACCATCAACGTCACTACAAGTTTCTCACCCGAGCTCGCCAGCTCCAGCTGCCGTAGCGACTGAGGGAAAGCGGATTGCTTATGCTAACAGGCACACTTATCATGCTTGGCTCCACCTTGGTACCGGTATCTGAATGCGCGGCAACAAGCACCCGCTGTCTCCGACCAAAATGCGCAGAGCGCCCTAGCGCTAGCGGATAACGACACCGGTCTTCTTGAATTGGTGAGCAGAGCTGTCGAATTCTAACTTTGTTATTTGAGTTCTGATGTCTGGATAGAGACCTTGAAGATGTGGCGCACAACGATGTCCGACCCCCGGTTCTCCGCGCTCTCTGGCAGCTGGCATCTGCTGGCTATCATGATGCCGCTGTCCCTCTCCGCCATTGGGTGCGGCCGGCGTCCTAAGTGTCGCGGAGGCCCAGGACGAGGGACGACAGCGGACCGACCTGCTTACGGAGGTGGTGCTGGCCCACGCCGAGTCCGTGCGGGGACGACGATGGGAGGAGGTGAGAGAGGGGAGGGAGGGGCTTACAGGGCAGAGGCACCCTTCAGCGAACCCCGACAGAGGTCTGGGGTTGCAACAGGGGCGTGCCAGGAACTTGCCTGAAAGAGGCCAAGGAGGAGGCCGGCGACGAAGGCCAAAGCTGTCCCCAATGACTTAAGTATATTGACTTGGCCATCTAGTACAAGAGGTGCTTACCTGTCCCCAATGACTTAAGAGGTCGAGATGGGGAACAGGTGCAGGATCTACTCTACCTATATACTGGAGCAGGTGCGCACAGACCAGGTACCTATTTGTACGTGTTTGGTACCTAAGGTGAGTATGAAGCATGTGACCAACGATCAGGTGACCTGT